GATGCTTAGCGATAATGGAATTTTGAAGCTCTTTCTCTCACATTATTTAGACCATAACCGCGGAATCTGTAAGGAAAAAAAAAAAAAAAAAGCGGGTTTACAAAATCACGTTCCGCAAGTGTCCCATGTATGAAGAAAGAAACAAAAGGTGCGGTAGTTCATGTGGGGTCACAACCCGAAACGCATTGTACTTTGAAAAAACCGCGCCCATCGACAAACGTTTACAGCTGGGAGACATTGACTGCTTAGCAGCTAAGTTTTCCAGAAAAGTGTATTTATCGCTTTCTCAACAATAAGTTGCTGCACTTCTCTAAACATGTTTTGGAAAAATTTTAGTTTTTTAAAAGCAATAGATGAAAGAATTCTATGAAATAGAATATGAGAATAGAAAGATTCTATGAAAATACTAAAATATCAGTTATTTTGAAGGAAAATCGGTTAAAATGTTTCAAGACGATGCATTCTGAATATCATTAATTTTGAACCACGCATGTTGTACGTGCCTTTTTATATAGTCGTGTTACCCGTATCAGCGGTTTCAGTTATCTGCGTCTTACAGTTAGACTGAACATAAAAAGAGTTTAACTTCCTTAATATTTATTTATTTAGAAGTCAAACAACAAAAATCAGCATTATATTTGCAATTTTGCACAGGACTAGTTTAGATGCTTTTACCGAACCATCATCTTTCAGCTCCCAAAGAGCAAATAAGCAGCAGCTGAGGAGGTTGTTTGAGTAATGCCAGCTACAACTCAACTTTGTTTAAGTTTTATGTTTTAAAAATAAGCTCTATCGTTCCTGTAAGAATAACTGCTTTGTAAATATCTGCAATTAAAGTGTTTTTTCATATTAAATCCATAGTTATTTTCGAATCCTTTAAAAGGAATAACTGTATAATGTCATCCTTCTACAATATTTTTTGTCTTGTGTGTTTTCTGTTGCAACTTCACATCGGTATTGTTATGATATTATTTTTAAGCTACTGATTTACAAATTAATCGTAAAATTCTTCTTAACTTTCATCAGATGGTGAATTTTCTTTTACAGAAATCAACCATCATCGACTGTTTTGTGAGAGTTTATACAAAGGTGCATTCCGAGTGATTGCTAATGTTTCCATTGTGTCTATACACATGAACATGTTCCTAGTCTAGTGTCTTTCTCCAGCGACACTTTGGTTCAGCGGAAATTTCACCGTTTACTTCCGGGGAAGGAAAAACCTTCATTAGCGCAATTGTGACAGCACAGTCAAAAATCTATTACAATTCCTTTTGATCAATAATATGATTTTCAATGAAACAAAATGATCTGTTATGATAATTTATTTATCAAACGCAAAACAGCGTAAGAACAACATTCATCCCATTGACGGTGGTTTCAGTATCAGCATGGATAGTGCAAATACGAGAAAAAAGGTTGAGAAACTTTTAAAAGCTTCAACCATAAAAAAAATTTACCTACTTTTTATCGCTTTCTTTCCCTTTTTACTTAAAAAAGTACTAAAATTCTGCTGTGATAATAAATTGAAATTAATTATCTACTTTTAATAAATCATTTAGAATCAATACATCTCCCATACAAATAGCTTTTCGAGTGTATCCTTCGGCGCTTTGCCTGGAGGTGTAGAGTAGTTTTAACGCTTGAAAACTGTGGAGTATGGTTTTAAAAGTATAGCGGAAAACACGAAACAAGGGGAAAAATCGTCGCAGAAACAACTTGAGAAAAAAGAAAGCAAGGAGAAAACTTCGCAGTTGTGAAATATTGTGGTAGAAAAATCGTTACAGGAAATAGAGCAGTTGAAAAACTTCAGTTTAAAACATAATCATAGAAAATATCGCAGTACAAATGAAGACATTCCTTCTCTTAGGCTGATAGCAATGTGCTTTGAAATAATCTGAATCATTAAACAGATCCTTTTAGGCAAATAGCTCTAGTGTTCTTTATCATCATCTAATAAATACACAAGCCATTCAGGTGTAATACAATAAGTAAGATATGTATTCGCCGCCCAGAAGGTATAGTGGTTAGGGGAGCCTACTGCGCTACCGAAGGGCCAGGATTCGAATCCCTAAGTCATGGACGTTTGTAAATGTATAGTGTCTTTGAGGCAAGGGGGGACTCTAAATATATGTCGAGACAAAAGTGCTTTGGAGAGATTGACGCTAGGGAAGGAATAGAATTTCTACGAAAAAAAAAAAAAAAAAGCAATTCGGCCAGCGGGGAAGAAGGCAGATTTTTCGATGCACAAAGCTGAGTTTACTCTTGATCCCACTCGGCTAATAAACATTGAAAGCGCAGAAACTGATTTAATTCACTATTCTATTGAGATTGAAATGTAAACAAATGGCGGTTTGTTAGGCTTAACTCCCACTTCAGCTTTTAAATTGTTGATAATTCTACATCTATTACATGCAGATTAATAAAAGACGCAAAAACCTTAACCGGGGCATAAAAACCACATAATACAGTCACTTGTAAAGAGGTTATCACACTTGGCTACAGTTCCGGCTAGACGGGACTTTTCTGAGAAACGAGATTCTGGAGACACTGATTTAACCGGAAGGATTTCTAGAAAAAAGAGCCCCACCTGAAGCGAAGTTCCTCCTAGCTACGGAAACTATGTTACGGCTACGCGGGATTTTTTTCAAACCTCTCTGAAAATGTCTCGGCTGGACCTCTGTCCCGGGTAGAGACAACCAATCAGACGAAAGTTCTGCTTCTGAAGCATCACGAGATCCCAATCTGGGCGATAATCAATTAGTGTTTGGCGTTCATGTTGTATTTAATTATGTCAAAGCACACTAGGGCTATCTGCCTAAGAGGAGGGATGCCTTCGTGGAGGACTTTCTAAGGGAAACTGGCTCGTATACACGTTACACATGGGGAAAACCACGAAAACACCCATGCAGCCAGCCCGTTCGCGGGATTCGAACCTCAGACCGAACTACCAGTGTTCAGCGACTTTACCGCTCGGCCGCTGGTGGGCGTTTGGCGTTCAAGTCTTTGTAGTAAGTGAAAATGGTAACCTAGCTACATGGGTTTCTTGGAATTGTGCGGGTTCTGAGAATTGTCCCTTTCGACGTCAAGTCCAGCGTAGCCGAAGCATAATATGATTGGGACATAAAGCAAAAATGCACAATTTACCAACATGTAAGAATAAAACAACTAAGCTCGCCGAGCTAGGTAACAGAGTGGGAATACGATTGGTGCAGCGGATTGCAACGAGAATGGAAGGTGCACAACTACGTGTTATAGCAATCCCATATACAAAATTTCTATGGCAACTTGTTAACTTATGCAAGATACATACATGTGTACGTACGTACGTACAGACGTCACGAAAAAAATATCTCTTCTAAATCCATTTTAAATCCATTTTACAGTCCTTTTTGGGGAAAACACTTTTATTACGCCCATGCGTACAGATGTCACGCAAAAACATCGTTTAAATGGTTTTGAAAGCGGTTGAAATGGATATTTTCCTTCCGAAATTTCTCGTGATTACAATACTTCCTTTATTTCGTACAAGGAAGTAAAAAAAAAAGTACAGTTTTATCCACTTCCTTGAGTTTTCAAAATCATTTAACGGCTTTGCTGAGCCTACAAAGCATGAAGACGACTGCTTTAAAGGATATTTCTAAGAAACTTTCAAATGTACTTCACAATTTCAAATGTTTTTATTACTTTCTATTATTTTAATTTTAACTGCTATTCGAGACAGACCGTTTATATTGGAAACTAACAATAATAATTAGCATTTTCATTTTAAAAACTATTTTGCACATTATCAACGATTAATGATAATTATAAAGGAGGTTCTGTAAAAGTAAATATAAATATGCTTTTTTTGGGGGGGGGAGTTGTTGTTTTTGTTTACTACTTACTGTTATTGTATACTCTTGTACAAATAGAAGCTTACAGTTGGTAGTATATACCATTAAATTAGAAAAATCCTACACCCCTACTTTTTAATTAAAAATCGCTATATCTGTAGGATTTATGTGAGGTAAGAGTGGTGCACGTTATCTCGAATAATCATAGGTTTACTGTACGTAAAGCGAAAATGTCTAAATAAGAAAAGCTGCACTGTCAGCTTCTGCAAAATTATTACACTAAGAAATAAAATTTCTTAGCGTTTAATATAATAAAATAAAATAAATTAAGTTGTACTGAATAAAGAATTTTGATAAGTTAGGTAAAGTCACAAAGAGTATTCAAAATTCAAAATTCCAGTATGTTTTAGGGAAGATAGTGAAAAAATAATAATAATAATAATAAAATCTGAAAGGTTTCAGATTTTAAATTACGTCCAAAGGGACTTTTTTTAACAGTGTTGCCATTGCTCGCTTTGAATTTTTTAATCAAAAATTCGTTGAAGTGTTACAAAATCTGAAATCGATAATAAAATAAATTTCAAATTCAAATTAGGGTTTCCACATGCCCATATTCTATGGAAGATTATGTTATTCAAATTTTGATGGCTTTAGGCTCCGTGGTTTCATCACAATACGAGAAACATACATACATTTCTGCAGATTCTTCATTATTTAATTTCTTTACATATAAAAAAGGGCGATAATCTATGGTGGCAACGATTTGAAAAGTGATACAGCCTTGTAAAGTTTTTCGACGCAAAATTCCAAAACGAAATTAATAGTGCTTCAGGGAAAATTGCCCCTTTCATGTACTTCTATCATGTACTTCTGAAACCTTATCATATACTTCTGAAACGTACTTCTGAAAAGCCCTATCTTCTGTACTTCTGAAAAGCCCTATCATGTACTTCTGAAACGTATAAATTCAGTTTTTTTATTATTATTATTTTATTTATTTATTTTTTATATTTTTTTAATAATGTCAAAATCTGGATATTCCGTATAATGAGCTCTTTCTTTCTTTGCTCTAAATTGTAATTGAATGACAGATTTAAAATTTGCGCCAAGTTGGCGGTCTTAGTGCACAGCACGGTTCAGTGCTTTTTCCGCAATGTCGCTCATTTTGTAAGGCAGTTATGCTGAAAAGTTTTCCAACAAATCCAATTTCAAATGCCGCGACTTTTCTATCTTATCACTGTATTAAATATGTTGAAGGATTCTTGAAAAATATGGATAGACACATTTTAACATGAGGTAAGGTATTTTAATAGGGTAAGGTATGTTTCAAAATAGTATGAAATAAGTTGTATTTTTTATTTGCTCTTTTTAATGCTGCTATTATACATTCCTCTACTGCCAAATAATTTGAAACATGATCTTTGGATTGATGACAGTTATAGCAATTCCATCACTCAAAATACCCTTCGTAATATATTCGCCTTATAACAGTCAATACTATTCTGCTTCATTGCTTAATCAAATGCTGTTTCAGTTCATTTCTTTGTTCAGCGGTAATCGAGAGTGAATAAGTGAGCGCCACCAAGGTGTCTTATCTTCCTGGCAGAAACCATCTACTCTCTGCTCCACCCTGCTCCGCGAACGCAGACGAATAGACGGCTAAGAGCCTTATAAAGTCTCCATGTAAGCTTGGATATTGGTAATCGAGAGTATAAGAACATTGAGATTTGGTAGTTTAGCCGGTTCAAATAAACGTAATGAGCGATTCTCCTCCCCAACTTAATTGCCGCTGTTATTTACGTTACGATACAAGGATTTAATAAGTTTTCTAGTGTAATTATAACCACAAATGTTAATGAATTCAGCCACTTTATTTTTATTTCAAAATTATTTTGTAACATCTGTGACTGAGTTCATGTAGCTTTCGCCTCTTCAAAATTATTCTGTTCCTGAAATTTTTCAACTCAGAATTAAAAATAAATTTTACTTTTCCATTTTCATGATGTATGTGTAATTGCTTGTTAACTGCAGTACATGAAACCTTTGGTATTTTATTTGGTTCCAGAATTGTGCCTACTTGCGTAACACCGAAATAATTTGCTGCAATTTTTAAGCATTTTACTGATTTCAAAATACAGAATTAACTCCCAAGTACTCTCCTGCGTACAGTTATCATATCGCTCATCGACAGGTTTTTTTTTTTTCCTCTCTTCCCATGCGTAACTCAAATATTACCAAATATCTTCTAGAAAATCTTCCACGAAGGCATCTTCAAAACAGCTATCCCTGGAGGATTTCCCAAAAGAAAAGAAAATTCAAACTTTGATGTGAATTTTACATTAAAAAACAGTACGCATTTCAAGCGAATTTAGTATATGTCCCTCTTCTTCAATGAGCAAAAATACTTTCTGTCATTTTGTGGAAAAATCCTCTGCGCATTTCAGACTTCAAAGAAATAAAAAGAGTTTTTCCCAATACCAATGTTTGTCTAAGTTTAAAATTCAGACCTATGTGTTTCTCTCCCCATCTATTGACCAAACTTAAGCGCTACTCTTTTTTTTCCTCTTTGAATCACCAATTAGTAGAATGAACAAAATCTCTAAAGCACTGGATATTCTTCTCTTACGGAACTCGATTTATGGTAGAGAGAGTTGGCTTTGTGAAATTTTTCTCGAGCTTTCCTCTACGTTCTGCAACACAATATGGAGTTTTCTGAAACCTTACCTGCGATTAACGTAAATGTGGACTACATCGCTTGCAAGAAAGACTTTTTCCAAAGCAAAAGCTCTAAAAGCAAACAAAATCTCGGACTCCTCTGGAGAAGGAGTAGAAGAGTTTTCCACCTTCCCCGTTTATATTATGTAATATGTTTCTATAATAATGTTCAGTACGTAATCATTAATAATCATACAACAATAAATTATTAATTAGCCAATATTGTTTCAATAATGATGATTTCGTTCATGAATTGTTAAGGATTAATGACGTATTTTACGCATAAAATTTACACTGTCTAGCAAATAATTCGCTTAATCTAAATATCGATAATTCTAATAAAATTGTAAATTTTTTCCTCCGTTTAGTTATAAGCAATTAATTATATGCATACTTTAATCTAAAGCGCTATGAATTGCCCGTGACAACCACGGCTTTGGAAAATCACTTTAAATTCTGATTATTCTCTTCTCGGTAAAAACATGACTGGCATTGATTTTACTTAAAATAATTAGTTCGGAAATATAATTAATAAATGAGAAATATGGTTCTTATCTTTTTGAACTATGGTTCCTTCTGCTGTCAATCTAAAGTCGCATTTGAGAGTTAGCATAACACAATTCGAATAACTCTCTTATTCTGAAGTTATCATAACATTTATGCCAAAGGTTATAAATGCGAGTTATTAATTTCTTAATAATCATAAATTTATTAGTGACATGGTACCGAATTACTTAAAACAACCTCTCATTCCTCAGTACCTAACACAAGTAAATAAACAAGTAAAATATATTTTCACAACTGCAGACTTGTGTTGAGGAGAAAATCTAAAACACAATGAGTTATTAAACTCCTCATGATTAGGGTTTTCAGACCAATCTGAATTGTTTTCATGAAGCGTGATCAGAATACTTAATTCACTCAAGCTTCATTTTGAAAGACTGTGTTGTTTTTCGATTCTCGTTCTGTGTCGAATTTAAGAAATAACCCATTTAAATGTTCAAAACAATTGTAATTTACACCTTGCATTAAAGTTTTAACCTAACGTTAAATTAATTGCATCGTAAATTGTTAAGATATTTACCCAGTAAATATCGTTAATTGTTAAGATATTTACCCAGTAAAAGACGATGAATAGCTGCAAGATTTTGTGCAAATTTATTGGTCAATAATATCTTAAACCGGTCATGCGTACATAATTTAAAATGTATATCATCATAGCTTCGTTAAATACGAGTTTATTAAGCTATTGATGTGGATTTGATATAAAATTATTCTCGTTCTTACTGCTATCCAGTTTACGGTAAGAATTATTGTTTTATTCTGGGGCAATATTTGCAGATTTTAAAGGTATTTTTTTATGGAATTCGGATAACTTTAATTTTTAAACTGAAACTTACTTTTACTAATTCATTAATTAATTTTAATTACTAAATTCATTTTATTAAATCAGAGAAGATTATAAAATATGTATATATATTATTTACAAACTTTTGTACAAACTTTTTTTTCATTTTTCTAAATACTTCCTTTCTATTACTCAGTTCTGCGGCATTTTAGAAATGATTTAATGCTGTATTTGCCATCCATGACTTCAAAAAAAAAAAAAAAAGCTTTTTACATTTAAAATTTTTGGTTATTAGTTTCTTTGCTGTATTTAGCTTTGTATTATAAAACCTAACTTATAAGGCGTTAGTCCAATGTTCACTGAATGGCTCGAAGACGCTTCAGGAAGAGATTTCAAAAGATTTCTAATATTTTGTATTATATTCAACTCATTCCCATATTAGAAACTATCATTTCGTGTGTATTTCCTTGTAGAAGATCTAGAATATTCATGAATGCTTAATGAGGTTACAGTTTAGAGAATTTTAGAGTCAAGGTAATGTGGGAGATTCGCTATCGCGTTCCTTCAAGGTCTTTTCAGTTGTACGACCTTGATCAAAGGATGTGTCGTCGCAGGGCCACTGCGTAATGGCTTCGACATTTCTACGAAGCATGCCCAGCTTAAGAGCGTTAAATTTACAAATGTGCGGCATAAAATGCATTAATTTGCGGTATCTTTACTAAGATCAGTTTTTGATTTCTAACTGGCAGATCCGTTTTGTAAGTAGGCATTTAATTATGAAATAAAATCGAAGCATCTTTATGCGAAATCACTTTCGTAATAGCACCATTATGCAAGTCAGTTGACTTGTACATCAATGATAGCTCGTTTCGCGACTGATTATCCCGTCATATATTCTTTTTGCTTAACTGTGCCAGTATCTTTATGTTACTAGTTTTGAATTGCTCTGCTCTGCGCTGAAAAATAGGACTGAATTTTAGTAGATGTCCTTCAGGTATGAATGGAGATGGTCTATTGGCAGAAAAGTTCTGTTCGTTGGGATTTGTCTCAGTCCCTGTAATATAATACATTCAGCGTTTGCATTTTGATTGGGCAATAGGAATAAGCTGTGATGGAAACGTCCTACAAGAATCCAACTTATCCGCTTGCAGTTCCAAATACGCACGACTGTATGAACCACAGAGAAACAATATGCAAGTACAATCTTCACTAACACTTTGACTGCCACAGCAAAACTGAGTAAAATACTCTGTCGGGCCCTTTTTTAATTCTAGCGTAATCAATCTAATATTTTTCGGTTAAATGAGACTAATCTGAATATACTTTTATGAATATTTAATAACTAGATAGATAGATAAATAATAATAAATAGATAAATAATAAATAAATTAGAGCTTAATTCATCTTAAAGTAAAACAAGATTCATGTGTGTAAAAATTAATAAAATCAGACAAATGGTATGTTACAATGCAAACAGAAAAACAGAATATATAATCAAAAATGACTACTGAATGTATAAGCATTTTGAAATGTACCGCTAGTCTTGTACTTTTTCTCATCTCTTGTACTCAATCTTCTTGTCTTACTTTCGCATAAATAATAATTACTTAAAAGTCATTGCTGCAAAATGCTGGTTCAGTGATTTTAAATTTTGTGTGAAAAGTTTCAGTTCAAATTCCTGCAATTTAATTTTATTGCTTTAAGATAAAAACGTAGTACATAGTGTTCAGGGAATGAAAACAAGAGTATTCTGAAATTTTCATTTATTGGTTTGGCATTTATTAATTTTGTTGGCGCATTTTATTTGATATTTTCTGCTAATAAAGTATGTTTAAATATTTCATTACTGTGAAATAATTAATTAGATTAAATATTATTTTGAAAATGATTTATGTTAAACGTTTTTCATTGCTATGAAGTAAGTGATTTTTAATTAAGTACTGCTTTGTAAATTTAGGTATCTAATGTTATTCATATTAGATTTTAAAAATTTTAGTACCATTTTTATTTATTCAAGTTTTATGATACTAAACATTTAGTTTTCCTAATTGTTTTACATAATTAAATAACGAATTTAAAGATTTATAATTATTTTATTTAGGGAAGGTTGTTAAAATTACTGTAGTAATAATTAGAAATTTCATTACTATTTATAAATTTGAAGTTTAAGAATTTTGATTTATTTGAGAAATGAATGAGTTAATTTTGAAAGAACTGGTACGGAGGTGTTTTGAATATAATTTAGAAAATATGTAATGTTTAATATTGAGCATAGTTATGATGAATATAAAAATACTAAAAAGAGAACAATTGCGTGTAAGAAAAGAGTATGATGAGGGAGAGCTGGTTCAGAAGAGAGGCCCTGTTTTTACCTCTGTTATTTTTTTCTTTTACCCTCATATCAGAAGATATAAACTTTGAAGGTACCTTATAATTTTTTCATATAAATATTTTTCATAAATAAACGGAATGTGTTAATATTTATATATATATATATATAAATGGAATGTATAATGCAAGTTGCCTTTAACAAGGAACGGAGGCCTTTATAAGTAACTGCCAGAAGCAACCCTTAACTATTCATGAAAATTCAGTACATGAGTTCGTTAAAGTGGAGATGCCATAATAATACCATTCTGGTACCATAATGGCACAGTTACACACACTGATCAATGAATCAGAAACCCAAGATCAATATTTTATTGGACCACCTTTTTGCACTGATAACTGCTCTTATTCGTTTGGGCATCAATTCTACATGCGTCTGGAATGCATTTACGTCCAGATAATACTATGCATTGGCTATGCTGCTTTTTCGATCTTGTAAATTAAATGAAAGAGGAGAGTGCTGTCAACTACACCTTTTGTTTCAGATGCATTTTGTGTTCGGAGAACCAATTTTGAACACTTCTGGCACGATGTATAGTTGCATTATCGTCCATGAAGTATCCATCGCCATCAAGGTAAAAATACATTTCAGGATGCACTTGATCTGCTAGTATATCTAGATATCTCATGGCTGTTTGTTTTCCGTCTAGGAACACCAGGGCACTACTTCCATGCCAGCAGAACATGCCCCATATCATGACACTCCCACCAGACACTTGCACAGTGCGAGGCTGAGATAAGAGTAAGGCTCGATAAGGCCTAGTAAGTTTAGATATATTCATGGCTTCATGGGATTCTCGCCAAATTCGACGCCTTCACATTAGGGCAAAGTAAGATGTAGCGTTTTATTACCACATTATCTGTTTTTCAATCCTCAGATGTCCAGCGTCTTCTTTCTCGACACCACTCAAACAAATTCTTTCATATCGGGCAGAAATGAGGGGTTTTCTCACAGGCACCCGATTATGCACATAGTTAGAGCTGAAATTTGTTGGAAAGAGCCTTGGTTAACGATGCTGTGTCAGTTGAAGCACATCAGAGTCTCTGTTCCGCCGTACAATTTGTCGGAGACGATGCCTATCATTCTCTTGGAAAACTGTGCTCGAACCGCAGTTACGTCTTCTAGAGAATGACTGTGGATTCTATTTCCAACTTTTGAAAACCTTTAACCTAGGAAGTAAGTGATATGGCTGCTTTTGAGAACTCAGTGAGATTTGATGTCTTCGGAATTGAGGCCCCTGCTAAAATCCTTTTTCAAGTGATGGAAGATCTGTCGTTTTTCCCATTTTCTTCATTCATCGTGGAAAGTGCTGTTACACCTCACTTATACTAGCATTCTAACCACATTAATCCATGTCGTAAAAAAATGTGTATACTTCATCAGTAGCATTCAGATGAAATTCTCAAAGGTTTCTGATTCCTTGGGAAGTGTGTGTATAAAGACATCCCAAGAAATCATAAAAAAGAAAAATAAAGGAACTTTACTTTCCTAAATTCTTGACTTGCGATTTGACCTTAAAAGTGAAGTGTTCGTATTAAAAGTGGAAGGTCCGGATAATTGAACAGTTCTGGTTACTGGAGTTTGGGTAATACACTTCCTATTATACATGTAAGGCATTCGTCTTAATTGTCTCATTCATCTCCGTTTGCTTAGCTTACTTCAGAAAACTAGACAGTTGCTCACACATTTATTTAGTTTTTCTGCGATTAAGCTTATAGTGGTATTATAGATATAACTGTCAAAAGCTACTATATAGTTTATCTTATCCAGCTATTATTTGTGCAAAAAAAAAATGCTTTCAGCTATATTCGTGCAAAAAAGTGCTGGCTACATAAGAGCTTTGCCAGTTTTTGCAAATAAATATTCTGTTCAGTGTGATGATATAAGGTGCAGTCTCTCACTCCTTAGCTTTGATATTTCCTGTCTAACATTATACTAATACGAGCGAGCTGTCAGTTTCAGTGAATTTAACTCAAAACTTTATTTTATTATAGAAGTAAGTGAAAAATTAATAAAGTATTTTCTGTATCTATTAGTCTCTTAGTTATTAAATTCAAATTAATTACAACCTCAACTTCAGTGTGCAGTTCTGTAAATTGTTTTGTTCAAATCTGATAATAACCAATATTTGTATAGAAATCCACGGAACAAATAGAATATGTAGAAATAATTTTTATGAGTCTAATATTTACTAGCTTAACTCTTGTAAAACTCTAACTCTCCAAAATTAATTTAAGTCTTTCTTACCAAAACTGTTGGTTAATCTGTGACAGAACCTAAATTTAACTTTGCATAGCAACACATGAACAAAGTACCTGCATGCTTCTATAATCCACCAGTCGCTTAGTGTCTCAGCTAAAATTCGCTATAACATTTATTCTTCTTTTACCTTAAATTAAACTACATGCTTCTAAGAATGAGAACGAAAAAAGGTAAAGCAATTTAGAAATTCAGCGCGTTATATGAAGACATTCTGGATGATAGTCAAAAAGTAACTTTTGCAACTAAAATTTAATAAGGAACCTCTTTCGCGCACAGATGTGTTTAAGAGTGACTAATTCATGAACTTTTATTCCATGATTTGTTATAATAATTACTTTTTCCTCTTTTTCTTTTTTGTGATTCACTAAATGTAGGAAAGATGCAATGTACTTCATGAACATGTACTATTTCAGCAAATGAAACAACTCTTTAGTTTAAAATAATGCCTGATTGGCGCGGCACAACTTCCGGAAAGTACCAAGTCCTCACCGCATTCCTTTTGTGCTGCATCCAGTTGCCAATTACATTCAGCGATCATTTGTTGCACTTGTACACATGGACGCCACCACACCGCTGCCGATTACCACCTCACAACAGTACAACTTTGGGACATGCACTGATGTGGCCCATCGTAGAAAAGCATGGCCGTAAAATGTTCGCCTCATGTTCAATGTACTTGGATCCTCATGATCACTCGCTTGGAACTCAGCCTTGCGTTTATGGATGGGATTTCTTGCACAGTGAAGAAGAGTGGACTCTGGTAACAGAAGTAAGCTTTCGAAATTAAAACATTTCTTGAAAATTCATTGATCTTTTACGTTTTTATTTATACCCTTTATACTTTTATCTTTCACCTCTATCTTTTATTATTGACTTTTATTTTTTTCTTATGTTTTATGCTTTTATTTTTTACTTTTTGATTTTACTTTTTACTTTTATTTTTTACTTTTTGATTTTACCTTTTACTTTTTACTTTTATCGTTTACATTTTTCACAAGAAGTGGAATTTTACATAAAGAAAATTTTGAGTCGGATTTCTAAAGAATACTTTTCTGTTTTATAAATGTTATGTAATTTAGATTTTGTTAAATCAGTAGGTTTAAATTATTGTTACTAACTTAAATTTGTTGTTTTAAATAGTCATTTTCGTACGACTTGAAGCTTATAAATATCTTTTTCATTTAATGGCTGCTTAAAGTCTGATTATGAGTAATCATTACATAAGAGATGGCATAATAAGCGTAATATAGCAGAATCTCGGCATTGATGATTTTATTTCTGGTTAATAAAACTGAGATAACACGATAAGCCAGACTAATTTCAATTATAAATAATGATACAAAAAACTTCGTCAGCTTTATGGATCCCACATCAAGTCTCTTTGAATACCCACTATGACATAATGTTTATTAGAACATTAAGTCCTGGTAAGAGAAACCTGAAAACAATAATCCATTTACAGTTTTTTTTTGGGGGGATGAGTGCATCACTTATTACACAGGTGTTTTTGAAACTACGAATGTGGTTACACTTTAACATGAATTTTGCACCCAAAACTGTAAACGGCAACAAAATTAATTGTAAAATAATTATCATTTCAGATTATTGGCTAATAGCTTCTTTGTCTCAATGTTTCGGAATTGCTATGGCATCAAAATATCATCAGCGTTTATGCTTATTAGGTTGATAGGTTTACTTAAATGGAAGTTCATCTGCATATTCGACTCTGAATGTTTGCATAATTCTTAGACGGCATAATTAACACCTTCGCTTCAATATTTTTGTAAGCGGACATAATTTACAAATTCTGTTAATTTTGCACACGATTTAAAGGCTCACAGGATGATGGAAATGTTTTTGAAAATTTTGTCACAGTACTATAAAACTTTCAGTATGTATTTAGGCTAACATACTTAAGAATTATGGCAGTTTCTCGTTAGTTACGTGACCTAGGGGAGTGTTAAAAAAATAAAAGCTAGTATACAAAATTGTCTTTACAGCTTTTCTCAAAAGGTGCAGAAACTCATTTTTACCCGTCGTTTCTAAAATTCTAAAAAATTTACTGCTTCTAAATACTGCCGCGCGTTGTCTTCCCTAAATCCTTAAAATTTTGCTTCCTTAAATTTTGCTGTTGAGTGCTCCTCTAAGTTCTAAAAATTTTGCTTTTTCTAAATTCTATCACCTGGTGCAACAGCAGTAGTTGCACCATCTGTACTGCCACCCTGGTATGTATACTCCCAGCATGCCAAATGGTATTTTCCATCAGGATAGCACATGTTATATGCATAATTAACATGAGCTGGTTATTCAATGGAACGCGCTGAAATTTGATTTCTTGGTCACTGCGATTCCCATTGATTTGTTCTCCTGTGAGTGGTGTCCGACGTCTTCTCTATGAATGCTCCTCCAAAGTCCTCCCTTAATGAAACTAAACTGGGAACTATGGTCTATTCCACGCTTGATCTAAATTACTTCAAAATAGAACTGGAGTACCAACTGAATCAAGGTTCCTCTGAATTGGCGACTGGTTACACCGGAAATGATAATACTACACCTTACTGATCACCTGTTAATTCAGTCAAAATGCGCCTTTAATTACCTAAAACTGAAGTCTCTAGTGCCTCAATAATACACTTTTTTATCCGCTTTTTTCTGTTTTATTTGTAGCAATTCTTCATGTTTAGTCATTTTCTACATGAGATAGTTTATTTTAAATTAATTAATCCACGTTTATACTAATCAAGATAAATTAGCATTGCCATGTAGTATTATCATGTACGCCTTTTCTGATGAGCGGAAATTATTTTAAATATTTCTCACTTTAAATGATTGAGAAACTTTACACTTTAACCTAAATAGTCAATAATGAAGACCAGAATTTCTATTTTTTTAATTATTTGGAAAAGGAAAAAGTCATGAAGTTTTATGAGATACTTTGTGTGTGTGCGTGTGTGTGTGTGTGTGTGTATAAGATTATTTTTCTTTATCGAGCTTTGTATTTAAAAGTTGTTTCCCGGTTTGAATTTTTGTTGTGGCCATTAACTTAAAAAAGTTTTTCATTTTATTAACGCTTTCACTCACTATAATACGCCTGACGCTGGAACTGCTTTTTAGAACAAGTCGGCAATTACGAAACAAAACTTTCTACTTGTATGACACCTCTATAAGGCAATAGCGGTTCAGCTGCCAGCTGTTTCATCGAATGACTAACTGCTGTATGATGAAAAGCGAATGTCCTGAAAGAATGGGAAATCATTCAGGAAGCAAAAATGCAATATATGAATTGAATATAAATGGAAAAAAAAGGCTATAAATTGAAATATTTCAGACTAGAATCTGTTTCAAGCATTCCTGTCTTCATAATACCCTTAATTTTTTTTTACTTACTTAATACTTTTTACTCTTTTACTTACTTACTTACGTTATAAGCCTACAAACATAAATTCAGGCTTGAGATGTGAATTTTATGCAAGCACTTTTGCACACAAGTCCTGAATTTGAAATGTTGCATGATTTTCATGGTCCAAAATTAAGAAATCTCCCTGATTTTATATTATTAGGAATACTAATGTACAAATCTTAAGATGAAAATAAATCTTATATGAAAAATAAGTTATACTGTTCATAAAAGTTAACTTTTCTTAGCTATTCTCAAATATATTATTCACGTATTTGTATATATTCAAGATATATTAATTCTATCTACAAGAGCTAACATTTACATGTAGAACAACTCACGTTTTTATAATACAATATGAGGATATGTGAATTTTATGTACAGCATACTTCTGTTTTAAAATAATATTTCATATCTTCAGGTAAACACCGTTAAAATGCACGTCGTATATTCAGATTGGTTTAAAAGAAAGGTTCTTATTCGCCCAAATACATGCGAAAGAAAGTGTTAGGGAGAGAAAAATCTTCCTTTTTTCAGTAACCTCTTTTTCTGGGTATTTACTAGTGCTTTTGTTGTATATTTTAATTCCTAGGAATTTCAAATTTCTAGATTATTTCCGAGGCACATTGTATTCCCTTGGATTTATATTTTTCATGAATGATCATAGTTCCTGAAGCAAAAGTCTGAGGTTCAGGTAATGGCGCCAAATAAGTCTAAAATAAATATATATTTTATCGGTCATTAAGTAAATTCTGTAATAATAAATTTTACATACATTTGAGAATAAAAATAAGAAAAATTAATAAATTAATAAAATAAAATAAAATAGAAATCATGCAGATATTTTCTTTGTATCGTAACTGACTTCATTAATATAATTAATATGCATTCTAATTAAATTAACATTGTTACATTGAGGCTATTAATTAACAGTAATTGTAAACATTGATGGCTTGTGGCGACACAAATTTATTAACGAATTACACAAATCATATAAAGAAAGTGATATCACGAATTATATTAAAATTAACAATATAAAGTTTGCTGGTAACATTTACCGAATGAATATTATCCTTGGATATTCAAAATGTTTACTATGAACCCGTGGGAAAATGAATTAGAGGAAGACCAAGGTCTCGATAGTTGGAATGTATCGATAGCTACTTTAAGATTATTAAAATTACCAACTGGGGCAGAACTCTGGCAAAGCAATGAAGAACAGAGTGGAAGAGTTTGTAGAGTTATTAGGATTTATAGATGCTGGAGACGTGAAAAATGTGCAATGCCCTTCCTGCGACTCTAACCTGGACCTCTCGAATACGCGCCGACTGTGTTACCGTTACACCACGAAGGCATACTGGAAGGAGGGAGGAAAAAAACTTCTAAGTTCTTAAAAGTTTTCTAAGGAAGGTCATGGCACAGCTTAGTTCGGCGGGCCAATGGATGTTAAAAGTCCATCATCAGCAGTTTAACTGTCAACTGTTGTCTTTTGACACAGTAATGGTTACAAAGTGTTTTAAAGCAACTCATTACCTTAGTTTCTCACTCTTTTTCCTTCATTATGTATAATTTATGACTCCACATACTGAATGTTGAATCAAATCCTTCATTTCTGCGAAATTTTATGTTTGAAGCTGTGAGAAAACATATACAGGAAATCTCACTTATTATCATTCAGTAATTTATGCTACTTATATTAACCCATTCTAGAATTATTCTGCATACTATTTTGTGACAGCTTGTTGATAATAATTTACAACAAATCATAGTGCTCTGACTCAATCAAACAGAAGTTGACACATAAAACAGAAGCTGAGGTTTAAAGTAATCATTTTTAAACAACTTCTCATTTCTAGACTGCGGTTTGATGTAATTAAAATATTCGTGCCTAAACTCATTTTAAAAGTCTGTGAATATTGATTATTTTTATTGTATCATTTCTGTAAAACAACTTTATTAATAAAATGATTTTTTTTTTTTTTTTTTTTTTTTTTTTTTTTTTTCAAAATATATAGTGGAATCTCGTTTGCGAAAGAGAATACTTGATCAATCTCCTACCCTATGTGTACACAGTCGGAACTATGCTTGGAGGACTGTTATTTGGAATTTTAGCGGACCATTATGGAAGAAGATTCAACTTGCTCGCAGCTCTTTTTTTTCACACCATCCTTGGTCTCTCGTTGCATTTCTTTTCGCTGTTTACGATCTTTGCAGTTGGTCATGCCGTACAAGGAGTTTTGGTAACGGTAGGTAAATAAATTACCTTTTCTGTTAGTTTCTTTTGACATAGTAATGGCTACAGAGTTCTTTTAAGCAGCCCATTATCTTAGTTTGTTAGAGCTCTCTGGAGCGTACTGTAAAAAACTTTCACTGCTTACTGTCATTAATATCACTGCTAACTCGTCCAAATTACATTTAGTCTAGATACGATTTTAAAAGCGGGAAGTTTATGTCTGAGATTTCCTTGATGCACAGTCAAAATGCTCTCTGTTCCTTTTCACTGCTCTAACACGAATCAAGCGAATGGCGGGTCTGGCAGTTACCAGGGCTCGTCGAGTTCCAAAGGGCTTTCCAATTCATATATTATTTGGAGATACAAGATTTATGAAATTTAAAAAAAAAATACTAGGAAGAAAAACTGAAATAAAAACTTTAAAAATTCATGTTAATTGAATAATGTCCAGCTAAGAACATAAAACTTGTACAAGATCTTTATTTTGCCATACACGACATATCAATATTCAGAACTGCCTATTGATAAAAAAAATTAAATAAAAGCGTAGCAAATATGATATAAAGTGGAGTAGGAAAAATGTGTGTTGAAAGATTTTAGAGGTACATAGAAAAAATTAATAAGGTGTGTATCAGCTCTGACTAAAATTCAAGCGTTACAGTGATTTTCAATGCTGCATATTAGACTTTTCACTATATTCACTATGTTTTCAGTGTGAATTCATGATGAACAGTGCCTTGAGTCTTCTGTAAAAAATGTAAATGTAGGCTGCAGTGATACAAGTCGGTATTCTAGTGCGTCCACACCTGTTCTTTTGTATTTAATTTCACAGAATATGCGGCCACTCCATCCGCTGGATTCCTTCGCCTTTGATATAATCGGTCATTAACGATAGAGCAGAACAATATCGTCCATTAGGAGGAAGTTATTACCGACTGTAATCCTGAAGACTTGACATAAGGATCAGGAACCTCATCTTTGCATACTTCAGCATTCATAGTTGCTTCGACAAGAATGTATAGATCAGTGCGGCTTTTCAAAATGATGCCCACCTACATCATGATTCCATCATCTCTGTACCGTGCCTTACATGTGTTTGGTGTATTTTGTTTCCTTTAGACTGTAGCACGTCTAGAAATTCTCTAGACAAAATACAAGACTCATCAGTAAAAAAATCTCAGTTCCAGTCCGTGGCACTCCAGTCGCAATCACCTCTGTATCAAAGCAATCGGACGCATTTTGCAGCTCGATTTAGTGTCACATGATTCAAGTTTTTCATTCTTTTAGGCGGCCTATCACTCACAGTATATCTGCACAATCGAGTTCTTGTGGCTGCAGTGAACTCCTATATAATCTAGGCTGATGTGAACTATCTATTTCCTTTAGAAATTGTTGCAAATAGCGGTTCTAAGAATTTGTTGTAACACCATTTCGGCATTGGTATGGTTGTTTGCATACGTCGCTAGTGTTTCCAAATTCTTGACATGATAACATTTGAATTCCTTAGTTATCTATGTCAGTGTGTGCCTTGTTTCCATCCTCCCAAACACACATCCTTTCTCCCAATCTATCAGATACTTTCTCAACGATATGTTAAACTCTCAGCTACTTGTATAGCCCTTAGAATTTGAAGCAACCCCTTGCAATCTTTTCTTCACGTGCCGAAAGATGGGTGCAAGAATTTGCATATTTCTCTGTCTCTGTAGCGAAGATGAATTCCATTGGGCTGCATGAAAGTATTGAACTTGTGCTGCCAACTATCTTTCATTAGATTTTATGTAACAGAATTAAGATAAAACATCTTTTTATAATTGTTTCTTTTATTTTTCTCGCCAATGTATAATCAATCAAATTATTTATTAAAGTGATAAAAAAATTTTATCAAATTATATGACTCGGAAAAAACAAATCTAGCCTTATAACCCTAAAATAGTGCCCAGTATTCTCTGTTATGTTTTCCAAGGCCAGCTGCAGATTATATCTCACACTTTATATAGCATCATTGTCTTATACTTATGAAAGCTAGTTATTTTTATTACATCTTCGAAAAACGTCCGTTTCAATAAGATGCCCAGTTCTACTGCTGGACATCCTCAAAAGGACATTTTCGAACAATAAAATTTACCCTACCTATTCTGTTATAATCTCATACACAGTTTTGAAACAGTATTACAAACCAATGAAAAGAAATTAGTCTTTCCGGCAAAGTACGGCATAAATAGTAAAACAACAACGGTTGGCATTGCCGCAAGAAAAAAAGACTTATATGGACACAACATGCCTTCTTGTACAGCCTATTAAATATTCTTTTTAGAACAATAAGCTGAAATTAAATATTGTTAGATATTTACAACAGTAAACTGATAATAAATGTTCTTAGATACTTATTGATAGACTAACAACTTATATAAACTGTAATTGTGTATGTTGTTAGACTACGTTACTTATCGAAAATATTTTTTTTTAATTTGGCATTGCCAAAACGTGAAAACTTTCGTCATTTAAAACACTTTTGTAATTGGCAGTACATGACTACGACCAACGATTGCGCAAATAAAGGCCGAGTAAGAATTTCTAAGTAAGATAAGTTTGTTGGGTATATATGTTATCAACAAAGTATGAAATCCAGCATTCTATAGAATACCTAGGAATTTTATAGGATGCCGAAAAATCGCCGGGAATGGGTGAAACAATTAAACATTTCACTCATTTCCAAATGACAAACCAGCAAATTATGAAAATACATCCCCGGTTCGTTTCGGCAAAGCACGTGACTTTTGTTCCTCCGCTCAAGTTCAAAATTTGCCCTTTGCATTTTGCGCTTTGTTCATGAGTGCCAAAATATGCGCCATAGTATTTTTTTTAATAAGAAAGGCACAAATTTTATTTCGTACAACTTTAATTTATTTTACGTATTTTGAATAAAGGTTTTTTTAATGGCTGTCTGGCTGTTTTTTCAAAATAACATTTGCATTTTTGAGGAACGAATGCCTTTTAAATAATAGCCTTGTGAAGTATCGTGTTCTTTGGTAGCATCAAATGTACGAAATTTCTAAGACTTTAAATGAATTATCACTATGTCTTGCAAAATAACACAAAGACTTTATACCGCGAAGATGACATCCGTCCTAGTTCTTGCCGTACGGAATTGACCGTCATTTCTGCGGAAATCAGTTACATACATCAATCAGTTACAGGCATACAAGGCCTGTTGTTCAGTACATATTATTTTCTTTTGTTACAAGATATTTTGAATAGCACAGTATTACATATGAACACTCTTACAACATAAATCAATACTATATATAAGTGAAATTATATTGTATATATACACATATATGCATTTGGCAGTGCATTAAACGAATACTAGAAGTGGTGTATAAAGTTAGATAACTGTATGAACAATGTATTACACCGGATGAGTACAAATATTTGTATATGTCAAGAAACAAAGATTTTTATAACAAAAAAGTTAAATAACTACATATATGTAAATATATATATATATATATATATATACCCACTTTATATATTATCTCCAACCTTTTTAAGTTTTAAAGTTCTTATACAAAAACTTTACTGTATTGAAGGTTAGCAGCCTCCTTATGCACACTTTTAAAATAATTCTACTTTAATTAAACTTAGGAGATAATATAATCAATTAATCAATACTGTTTAGGAAATAAATTATTATTAACTAACTTTGCAGCAATTGCGCAAGTAATAATAACTTGTATTCGCACTAAATGGATTTAAGTTCATACAACATTTGATATGCTAAATAGCAGCTATTAGCGCTATTTATCTCTTACCTAATGTACCCACTTTATATATTATCTCCAACCTTTTTAAGTTTTAAAGTTCTTATACAAAAACTTTACTGTATTGAAGGTTAGCAGCCTCCTTATGCACACTTTTAAAATAATTCTAATTTAACTTAGGATATAATATAATCAATTAATCAATACTGTTTAGGAAATAAATTATTATTAACTAACTTTGCAGCAATTGCGCAAGTAATAATAACTTGTATTCGCACTAAATGGATTTAAGCATTTGATATGCTAAATAGCAGCTATTAGCGCTTTTTATCTCTTACCTAATGTACCCACTTTATATATTATCTCCAACCTTTTTAGTTTTAAAGTTCTTATACAAAACTTTACTGTATTGAAGGTTAGCAGCCTCCTTATGCACACTTTTAAAATAATTCTAATTAAACTTAGGATATAATATAATCAATTAATCAATACTGTTTAGGAAATAAATTATTATTAACTAACTTTGCAGCAATTGCGCAAGTAATAATAACTTGTATTCGCACTAAATGGATTTAAGTTCATACACCATTTGATATGCTAAATAGCAGCTATTAGCGCTATTTATCTCTTACCTAATGTACCCACTTTATATATTATCTCCCACCTTTTTAAGTTTTAAACTTCTTATACAAAAACTTTACTGTATTGAAGGTTAGCAGCCTCCTTATGCACACTTTTAAAATAATTCTAATTAAACTTAGGATATAATATAATCAATTAATCAATACTGTTTACGAAATAAATTATTATTAACTAACTTTGCAGCAATTGCGCAAGTAATAATAACTTGTATTCGCACTAAATGGATTTAAGTTCATACAACATTTGATATGCTAAATAGCAGCTATTAGCGCTATTTATCTCTTACCTAATGTACCCACTTTATATATTATCTCCAACCTTTTTAAGTTTTAAAGTTCTTATACAAAAACTTTACTGTATTGAAGGTTAGCAGCCTCCTTATGCACACTTTTAAAATAATTCTACTTTAATTAAACTTAGGAGATAATATAATCAATTAATCAATACTGTTTAGGAAATAAATTATATATATAATATATATATATATATATATAAATTAAATACTTATATTACAGGAGCTGAAACAGTAATTTAGTTATTTGGGGAATGACTGTGATGAGAGCTGTTCTAGGTTACTTCGTTTTTGCAGCGCAGTAGGTAGTGATAACATGAAGTTGCGATAGAGCAACATTGTTATTTTGAATATTATTCCACCACGCTGCGCGAAACATGGGTGCTGGTTTTTTTAGATGGAACTTCGCCGTTAGGCGGCATTCAAAGTAATAGTGGTCTGGAGTCGCAAATGTCTGTGTTAGATAGACCAAACCTATGCAGATAGGCTTTGTACAGTGCATGTCCTGTTAGGAAATGTGACATGCTGCCTTCCCTGCAGTATCCGCATTGCTGTAAACGTTTGCCCGATCGCAATCCAGAACTAAAACAAAGACTTTCCAAGCTCATAAAAGTACTGCACCTAACTAAGCATTCTTTTTTGCCATTTCACCTTCCTGCTGCGAATGTGTCGCTTAGCCTCTGCTAGTTATTCTCCTCTATTTGAGATGCAGTTACATATCTAGAAATGTGGAAGGGGGGTTAGTATCCCTGGTTTTCCACAAATTCAAAAGATAATGAGGTATGGAGTTCATCATCCAGAAATAAATAATGTTTAACTACCAAGTTGGTGTGCTTCTTCTAAAACTCCATCCAGTTTTCCACTACACAGCAGTTTTCAGTCATCCGGGCAAAAGTTTCCTCGGCCATGACTAAAAAGAGAATTGGTGCTTTTTCGAATCAAGCTGTAATCTAATATCAAGTTATGTACAACAAAATAATTCATACGTTTGGTACTGTAGATTGCGATGAAAAAAGGGAAATACACAACGATAGTTAACAGCAGTCCCATGTACACAGTTTCAGCGTTCTACGGCTAATCGTTTTTGAGTTTTGCTACGTACATTGTGGACAAAAAAAAATCCCTTTTAAATCCATTTTACAATCTGTTTGGAAAAAAAAAAAGTCCTTTATTCTGTCCGTGTGTATGGACGTCAAGCAACAAATCGTCCAAACGGATTCAGGAACTATAAAAATTGGTATTTCTGTTGAAATATATGATACCTGACAATTTTCGCCCTTACAGTACTTCGTTTACTTCGTAAAAGAAAGTAAGAAAAGAGCGCATTTTAAGTCGTATTTGTCATTATGTTTTGTTCTATTCTCGTCTGGTGTGCATTTTGCAACTTATGAGTGATTGTCGTTTTTAAATTTCAGATATTATAAAACCATTTTCTCTTCATATTCTAGGCGATCCAATGCATTTCCTTCATATTGCTGTTGGAAACAGTGTCTTTCCCTTATCATCTAAAATCAACTGTATGTTTGTGTTTCGTGACACCTTTGGGGATTATCATTTTAGCTATCGTGTCATGGCTCATAAAAAACTGGAGGTACATTCAGCTCGCAATATCAGCTCCTGGTATTGTTTGCTTGGGCTACTTTTGGTAAGTAAAACAATTAAAACTAATTTAATTTTTGCTTAAATTTCATACAAAAGCCTTAGCTGACGGAACGGGCTAAATTTTTATTGGGTATAAATATTTAGCAAAATGCAAAATATAAATATTAAAAAAATTTAATAAATTTCTTTCCGAAAAACTGTTATAACTTGCCTTAAATTCTAATTATAAATAATTTATAATAAATATGCTTTATAACAAATCACACTAACATTTGAAAATTAATGCAATATATGAACTAGATTTAATTTTTTTCTCTTTTCCGATTTCCGCTTAAAAATATTTCTGATTACTATTTCCTTTTAATAACTTAATAATGTTAATTACATAGGCTACATAGAAAGCTATTGAGTCACTAAAATTACTCTACTGGTAATTTAATGAGAGTAGAATGTGACTGATTACTTGAATCATCATCAGTTTTGAAACTTGTTGGTATTTATTCGCTTTCAAACAGCAAATAAATTTTATTTTTTTCTGGTGTAATATTAACAGCATTACCTAAAAAACAATAAAACGTAAATGTAAATTATATATCTCAAAGTTAACTTCAAAAGAATTCTATATTGAATAGACAATCACTCCTTTGTAACAAAATATAAGTAATTCATTTTTATTTCTGCCCATTCTAAATATCTGCAAGAAAAATTTAAAAAGCACCTTCCATTCTTGAGGTATGAATACTTAATTCAGTTTTATTTTTTACTGATCGTTAAAAGTGTGAGCCAATAAAACACGGAATGCTTCCGGATTTGCTCACTTCTATTGAAGTTTCTATACATTCTGTAAATTTTGGTATAACACACTATGAAGTGTTCTAAGAATGTACGACAGCTTAATTTTTTTTCTGTGCATCTTCTACAAGTTTTAAGATTTGTTAAACTTCTCAGTTCCACTCATGACTTCTGAGTTTTTAGTTCTGTTTCTGAGAGTGATATGTACCGCAGTTTAAGCAGAGAACGAGATATGTATCAAAGATCCAGATTAAGTAGGGATCCAGAGAGTATAGTTGCTTCTAGTGTCCCAAGAGAAGAGTACCATCATCGTAAATAATTTGGTAAAGCTTCATTGTATATTGTTGCGTTCTACGGGTCCGTGGATTTAGAGCAGTTGATGATAACACTTGATGAAGAATTAAAACACAATTTGTTCACCAGTAGGACACAGAACACTTCCAAAGACACGTTTACAGTTGTCGAAAAACTACGATAAACACGCTGAAACAATCCGCAACACAGCCTTCAGGCTACAACGATGAGGACAGCTTCTTGAAAGGCACTAAAGTACAACTCCCGACCTACTCTGTAGATCATTCTCAAGCTAATCTCTGATCTCAAGACACTACTCTCTCCCAGGAAAGGAAGGGCATATATAGCTTTAACCTACCTTCGAGAACATTCTCGAGAAAAACCGCTAAAATGTGTTCTAGAATGTTACGACACATCGCCAATTTTGTCACCAAATGCGCGATTTCACCCCAAATCTGTCAACCCTGTCTTTCCTTGCCACTTTCTGCAAAATTATGCCCGCTTTACAGGTAAGCTATTTCACCGCGTAGCCGCTGGGCATTTCGCAACAATATTATCCATCTCAAAGAAGAATACGAAAAAGCAGCATTTGCATTTCAGCAATGAAAATGTTTTAAGTTTCTTGGGAAAAAATCTGCTTAAGTTGTAGAGTTTTGCGTTAATCAACCAGTTGCCTTATTATTTTACCTGTACTTTCATTTCTATTTTAGTCAACTTCCAGCAGGTTGCAAATTATTTAATATATGTAAACGCGGAGTTCTTGAGTTCGAAAAGTGAGTCTTTGTCAGTTATCGCTGGGCGTTACTCTCTCTCTTAATCAGATTTAGCTTCGCTTGCGGTAATTGCTTCGTGAGAATACTGAGGCCTGAGATAAAGCTTAGTTAAACGATTGTTACTTTGTATTTAATACAAGTATTTTAGTCGTCTGACACGAGATTTCGCACGAGCTGCGAAGACTTGATGTTCTATTACTTTTCTCAGTTTATGGAACCGTTAACTGACTTGTAAGCAAAGGGATTTGTTTTATACCCTCATCTTAGATCATGCTACTATACTCTGAAGTTTCGACAGGACGATAAATCATCTGTTTGTTTTACTGGTTAACGCTTAAGTAGTGAGGAACCGTGCAAAATGTGAGACACCGCCAGCTACAATCAATGGTATGCAAAACTAATTAAAATTGAAAAGTAAGCATATGGTTTCAGTTGTTCATAAATGCCCTCAGCTGTTTATTCGTTTTGATATCAGCCACAAGAATAGTGCTGCCTGTAGCAGTTGCAATGAAATTTTTAATGGCCATTTCCTAGATCAAGTGTCCTCTGCCCTCTTGCGAAACCACCATACATCATACTTTTCTAGAGCTATCAGGTTCAGAAATACACACATAATTTTGCTGCATTTTTTGGTACAATAAATGATGGCAATTCCTAAAATCTTATTCACTTTGCTATTATTCTAATCACCTACTCTTGAATTGAAATTTCAATTACCCATTTTTTGCATTTGCAAATATCTTCGTCAGAAGAAATACTTTCAAATATCTTCTTGATATCATCTTCATTCAATGATGAATGACCACCAAAAGGTTAATGCTATCAAAGTTAGCTATTTCAACACACTTCTTCGCAAACGTATTTATAATAGCTTTATATGGAACTCTAGTAATACGTTGTTAGTTTCAATGTGCTTTACAAGCCCACGGTACTTAATAATTGTATCTCAACTGCAAAACCCACAGCCACAGAAGTTTCACAAAAGCTTAAACATTCTCATTTTCACTCGCTCCCTTCTGATGAATGTTTCTTTCTCTGCTGAAATTGTAAGGAACATGACTAACTCTATAATGCAGCAAATTATTTATCAGTTTTTAATTTCCTGCTCGCTGCCATAGTTACCAAAGAAATCACTAACTACTTTGTAACCGTGGTAACGATGTTAAGGCGACAATCATCGGACTCTTGGGGTGAATATCGATGGACCTGTCCATCTGCATATTTGGCTTATGTCACTGCACGTTTGAAATGCGAGAGAGCGGATATCTGAACAATTTTTAAAACAACAATAAGTTACAAAACTGAAAAATGCTCAAACGAGTTCTGAAGGAACTAAATTTAGAGATATGTTTTAGATTGGATTTGGATTACTTAATTACGGCAAAGCACTCGAGGGCTATCTGTCTAAGGCAAGGAATGCCTTCGTAGAGGACTTTCTACGGGAAACTGGCTCGTATATATGTTACACATGTGGAAACCACGGAAACGACCATGCAGCCAGCTCGTTCGCAGGGTTCTAGAAAATTACTCCTAAATATGGTCTCTTTATAAATAGTATAAATATAATGTAATCGTTAATTATAAATACAGGAAATTAGATATATATAATTGAAATGATATTAAGAATTGTGTATGTAATGTGTATGTATAAGCAATTTCTTAAGGATTAATTTTGTGTTTTTAGGAAAAAAGAATAAATCGTATCATAGCTAAGCAAAATTTAAGCGAAGGAATAAAGTAGGTTTATTAAGTGGAAATAGCATTAACCTTCTACTGTGCACCGTTTTATTTTTTAGGTTGATTCCACGATCTTTGCCTTGGCTTCTGGCTGAAGGATATGCTCACGAAGCTGAAAAACAAGTGCTACGATTTGCACGTTTCAACAAATCTCTGTTACCCCACAATTTTCGACTACAGCTTTTGAACCTATGTAAAACCATTAAGTCTTATGCTACGGGATCGCAGCACAGTTTAGAAACGGTGGTCTGCTCGGCAAAGATCAGGAGGTACACATTCATCCTTTATTATATGTGGTAAGTTTACACTAATTTTATTTAAGTATGATGCGAATTCTTTCTTATTTCACAACGAGAATTCTTTCTTGACGTGAAGTTTGGTGTAAATAGAAATTATATTAGTTTTCAGTTATCCAGCTTCTATGCCGGCATTACGTTTATGACTGCAATCAAAATACATTTATTTTTAAAAAGGAACTGAAAGTTACTAGAGTCTCTATCCAAAACTGCTGACATTAACGTTTAAGAAAACAAACACAAGCATCAATCTTCGATATGCCCTCTAATAAGTATTCTAGAAGCAAAAGTTTGAATCTTAGTAAAACTTGCATGTTTGGAATCACTGAGTCCAGGCGAAGCAAGGGCCTTCAATGTTTTATGAACAAAAAAGTGAAAGGACTGTTGTAATTGAAAATTTTCAGATTGTAATCTAATATCTCGCGAAAGATTTAATTTTTTTTCCATAAAAGTTGATAACATTTTTTTCAATAACGAAATTATATGGCTGTCTTGTTTCTAGGGCGTCTGCAAGTGTCTCCGAAACCAAGACTGGTCATGCCATAAAGTGGGGAATATGTATATGTTGTTGTCCTGTCGATGAATTTCATGGGAAAATGGTTACCAAAGCCTCAAGGACGTTAGATATCTATTTCCACTCCAATTTTGAAAGAGAGCACCCCAGGGCGTGATCAAATGGTCTCCAAAAACCTCTACCACCAATCTGCACGAGAAGATTTTCTGCTAGCCATATATTTAGAGTGTTCTCTCCCATGCCGCAAAGCCACTATACATTTACAAACATCCATGCCTTCTCCGGGATTTGAACCTGGGCCATTCGGTGCCGCAATAGGCTCCCGTAGCCACTATACTGTCTGGGCGGCAATAGGTATATGTTTCATGCGTAATTTAAGTGAAATGTCCATACGTGGAGTTATCTTTTACTAAGACACTGTTTAAAATGTGTAAAGGAAAAACCTATTGCATCATTAACGGTTTTTGTTAGAATTTCACGTTGCTAACTTTAGAATTTCCTTTAATAATTTCCTTTAATTTCCGATAATATTTATGATGAAGTTTTTCCAGTTGGGGGTGTTAGTGCTTTCGTAGATTGGTGGTAAAAAACAATGAGGTTCAATTTGAAGGCAGACCGTATTACGATCAGATGAAAATGTTGAAAGTATTTCAATCAAACATGAAATAGTTTTTAAAAGGAAAACGTCAGTTATTGTAGAAATATTGTAATGATAATGAGTAGGTTGGTTTAGTGTAATTCCAATGCAATGCTTAGCTTGTACGACGTCAAAAATTTCTCTGTTTCTGCGATTAGAACACATGGGTTCCAGTTAACATATTTAGCTTTGAAATCACCGCTAATGATCCCACATGAATTAATTCTAAAAAGATCAGTCAGTCCTGCGTAATCGATAATACTACTGTTTGAACTATAAAACTAAGCTAGAGTAATATTTATTTTGCCTATTCGGGGAGTGTTAATTGGGCTTTTAAAAGAATGTAATTATTCCATAGTGAGGAATGCTTTTACGCATATAGGTGACGGTGCGACCATATCGACCAATGTGTTTAAATTTGTTTGAACATATTTAATATTTTTTAAAAAATTGAAAGTACGATAATAAAATTATGCTATGTCATAAGTAGGTTAGAAATATCAAAATTGTGCAGCTAATATACTATATGTATGTTTTTCACATCATAAATTAAAATTTCGTTTGTACGTCTTTCTCATTACTTTGCGAATGGTCCGTTCAAAGACGTATAAACTATATATCCTTCAATTTTACGCTGATTTCCCTTGAAACGCAGTTTCTTATAACACATACTATATAGTAGAGGATCACGATGTGAGTGCAGGTAACAATACACATTCCTGCAATAAACCCATTTGAAGTTTTTGATTTATGAAAATAAAAATAAAAACTTTTTTTTTTTTTTTTTAATGTTGCGTATCTGTTTTGTATTTCTCCTTATCTTCAACACGTACACAATTGAATGGCAGTGTATGTGAAGGTCACAGAGGGTAGAAAAGAACAATGAGTTCTCATAGAAGCCTTAAAATCAGTCGAGAATTGAGAAAGCTTATCAAAATCGTATACAATTACTGTAACTGACTCCCCGTTCTTTAAATCTTTGTTATTACTTTCCAGCTCTTACTCCTGTCCTTTCCATGTTTGCAAAACTTCCTTTTTATAATGGTTTCTCATACACTATTAGTTCCTCATCTAGGAAGTATAAATGTGAATAAAATGTTCACGGCAGTTTTATCAACTTTCATTTCCCAAATCTCAACTGATTCTGACATAGCCAAGTTGTTAGCCTTTTAAGAGTTTATTTTATTCAGTCCCGTAACTAGAAGAGAAAATAGTTCAAATTTTTACCTCCTTGTATTAAGTAAAGGAAGTACTGTAATCGCGAACAATACCGGGTAGCATATTTCACCGGAAATATCCATTTTGACCATTCCAGAATCCATTTGATTTTTTTTTTTTTTTTTTTTTTTTTTTTTTTTCTCTTGAGGGATACCTGTATGTACGGACAGCATAAAAGACTCTTTTGAACAAAATAGATTCAAAACGGAATTTTTCGTGACTTCTGCACGTATCGCGCATAACTCAAAAACTATTATCCGTAAAACGTTGAAATTTTGCATTTAGGACTGGTTGTGCACCTCTCCTTTCGATTGCAATCCGTAATCCCAAACGCGTATTCAACCCCTTAAAGTTCTTACCCGGCCTTTATTTTCGCAGTCCATGGTCGTAGTCATATACTTCCAATTACAGAAGTCTTTTAAACGATGAAAATATTCATGTTTTGGCAATGTCAAATTTAAAAAGAGAAAAAATAATTTTGGACGGATAACAAAATCTAACTTTTAATGTGGTCTCCCGGGTCCGATACTTATATTAAGGAAAGTTTTGCACTTGTTATGAAAAAATAAAATTAAGAAGTTTAACTCCCGTATAACGAAAATTGGTCTTGATATTTAACTTAAAATTTGCAATTTTTATGTCATTTTCAATTTGTTTCGATGGATTAGTTATTCAAGTTAGAATAACTCAGGAAAATAAGTTTGAATGATATGCAGCAAGAAATGTGTATAATTTAGTACGCCGTATAAGTCACGTTGTGTCCACGTAATTTTTTTTTTTAATAGTTGCTCCTATTACCTTTTGAAAAGTAGTTACTGCGCTAAAATTCGAATTACATTTCACACATCTTTTATCTGTGTAGATTCCACTAATAATCATATTAAATCTTTTTTACCTGTAGAATTACGCATCGTGACTTCTTAGATGAAATTTAATGTATCATATGATTCGAGTTCAAGCTGAAAAATTTCAAGTTTATCTTTTATATTCACTAAATAGGTAATAAGTATGAATAAAAAGCTAACTTTAATGATTCCTTTGTTGATTATGAAAAAAGCGATTCACGTTTTAGTTCTCCAAACAAAGCGTAGTTAGTTTTCCATGCGTTTTTATGCTCATTTTGATATGATAGCAATAATCTAATATTTTAAATAAAATCGAATTCCTTGAAAATGAGAATATTTAGTGTTGTCATTCCCTACTCCTGGAAATCCGTAACAAATTTTATGATTAAAAAACATTCACTTTTAACCTGCCAATTATAAATTAATAAATTTGATAGCTTTCAGATTTTATAATTACGCCCAAAGGAGCGTTTTGTGTGCTACCTTTATTTATGAAATATCATGTTCATTGCACTTAAACCATGAAATTCAATTCAACAGCAATATCGCAAAATAATGTGAAAATAGAATATCTGTAGAATTTCCGATGTACAATCTCGCGTGCTAGAGATAAAAATCCTTTTTTTTTCCCCCTCGAACAATGTTGCCATTGCTCGCTTTGAAATCATGGAATTTTTTAATCAAACATTAGTTAAAGTTTTACAAAGACAAATTTCATATTTAGAAATAAATAATTTATATATATAATAAGACAAATTTCATATTTGGGTTTACAGATGCCCATATTTGAGTGGAATACTACGTTATTCAAACTTGGATGGCTCTAGGTTTTTTTCACAATGCGAGACACATAAATACATCCATGCAAGCTCATTATTTAATGCAGGGTTCTACTATTTGGTGGCAACAATCTGAAAAGAGAAACTCCGTTTATATTGAACAAACGCAAAATGCCAAAACGAAATTAATAGCACTTCTGGGCAAATTGCTCCTTTGGACTAAAAATTATTAACACTAACAACTCGTATCTAGAAACATGAAAAACGACTGCTTTAATTCCGTATTTAATAAACTAGTCAGCTATCTGTTCGCCGACTGATAGACATTAAGCGAACGGATGAATAATGGTAATTTAAGTTCGGCTACAAATAAATACTAATGATGATGATTTCTGTTTTAAAATGTCTAGTGGTTCTTTTCTCTGTGTCTTTTTTAAATGTAAAATGGTAAAAGTTTGAAAGAATCAAAGTGCCATTCAAAAAAGCATATTGTTTTTAAGTTATCCTTTTTGACGTAATGGTGGGCAACATGCACAGTAGAAATCTGAAAAAGATAAAGGAAAAAAATCTGTGTTACATAAACTGTCAATACGTTTTCGTATTGGGAGTGATTGTGAATATCAACACACCTTAAAACTCTTTTAAGTATTAAAAACAATTCATCTGGGAAATTTTGAAGTGTAAAAAGGAAAGAAAAAGTGGGAATTAAAAGCCCCGCTTACGCTTCATAAGATCTGGAAAAATGATTTCTTGAATTTTGAGTTTAAATTATATAAATGAAAAATTGCGTTGAAAACTGAACAAAAGAATTGAAAGAAAGTGGGTAGACATTAATTTCGCAGCTCAACTGGAAGAGAGCTTACGTGTTTGGCAGACCACAAATCCCACCTGCAAGATATAAAGTACGTATTTTTTTCGTTTTTCTTGGAATCTTACAAAAGTTCTTCTTTACACTAATTTATTGTATGATAGTATTTGTCTGTACCTTTCTTGCAAAAGTTTTCGAGCATAACGATATGGTATCAGAACAAATTTACTTTCAATTACATTATATGCAATATATTTATAAGTCATAAAATATTGGTAAAATATGATTACTCTCTATACATACCTATAAGTAAATGTTATTTATTTGTCATATAGGTTTATTGTATCTCTAGAATCCGAAGCATATCCAACGGAGCTTCCTGCGCTGAAAGACAATAGATATGCATCCTTGTTTGTCAAAGGTTTAATGGATTCGGGGCTCCTTATTCTGCTGTACTTCTTTGCACAGAGGTTAGTGATATTCCGTTTCTTATTCGTTGTACATTATACTGTTCGGAGCTACGGGTTCGTTGAGACTTCTTCAAAAATTACTTTAAATCAGTGTTTCTTAAACTGTGTACCACGCAACCCTAATATTCTCTGTAGATCACTCAAGGGTTTCAAGAAATTTACATGCTTTTTTCTTTCATAAGATTCAAGAAAGTAACTTAAAAAGAAGCAATAAAAAATAACGTCTGAAACGAAAATTAAAAAAAAAAAAAAAAAAGTAGAATAAGAACTACAACTTTCACTTACTAATCTGGATGGTCGATACAGATGCAACAAACAGTCCGTCATTGCGAGTTGTAATGGCACCGTGTGGAAAATATTTAGTATATTATAGATGCCACGTTGGAAAATCGCCCGGAATCCTGATATGGGTGATTCCCTGGTTCATTTCTTTATTGATCGCTTTACATGGTGAATACCACAAATCAAGAAATACAGGGGAATCCCGCGTACTTGGATATAAAAGTGTGGTGCCAGTAGCCGGGCATAATAATCACTCGTGGATGTAGTAGGTCTCATACAATATTAAATTGATTTGAAGTGTTTTTCTAAACTTTTTGCTTACTTTTAAATTTTATTTGTTCTTATAATATCAAATTGCACATACTGTTTCATAAGTTTCGAAGTAAAAAACATAATGTATCACAGATCATAATGTAAATTAGAAGGAAATGCAACCAGGAAATCAGACAAGCATTTATTCGCTTATTTAAATAATCAAAATTGCGGTTACATTTCATCACTCGCATTTCCCGAATGAAATATTTTCCTATCATGTGATCCGTAGCAGATGTTAATGCTTGCTTGGTGAATCACCGAGCGAACTATATCAACGAGTGCACTACATCCCTGTATTTTTTTGTTTTAACACCGTTTTCGATATTTTGTAGCAAGATGGACAAGTGGCTTATAAAAAGGAACTGTGGAGCGTTCTACTGCAGGACTTGTTGCTCCTGCTTCAGACCCAATAACTAGCTCTTTTGCTAAAGATAATGAAGCTAATGATCAGAGTGATACAAATTGCCAAAAGAAGTTAGGCAAGTTATGGTTCTAGAAGTAATCAAACCACAGCAGTAGCTAAAAAATTGGGAAATATGATGGAGGTTATATGTCCTTTAGGATTCATGAACAATAAATAACAGTAATCTTCAACATGTTATATATTATGTAATAAGTTCTCTCAAACAGCTCTATTCGCCCCCCCCCTTCAACTAAAATGCGTCGTCATTTGGAATCTGTTTATGGATAGTTTAGAGCAGGGATGGGCAAAAATTTTCGGTAGCGGGCCAAAAATCGAAAAAGAAAAACGTTTGGCGGGCCAAGATAAATTTTTCTAAAATTTTAAAAACAGTATACAAGTATTACAATTTAAATATGCTAATGGGATGAATGAAATTACGATTTCATTTTTAAAAGTTCCTTATATTGAGATTCGAAGTGAGATGTACTGATTCTAAGGAACGAGGCTAAATGCTCATCTGTCAGTCGACTTCTGAAATAATTTATTTCCAAGGTTCATAATTGAAAACACTTGTTCACATATATAAGATGAAGCAAACATAGCACTGATTTTCTGGGTGTGAGATATTAAATTCCAGAAATTTACTTTCGATAATGATTTGTAAAACTCTAACTTTGGCTTATTTAGAAACAACTGCTTGAGATGATTGTTAGATTTGCAACTCAATTAATTCAAGCTACAAATCTGACCTCCCTGCTTCACAGTTTATGTTGAAAGGGATGGTAAAAATATCCAATTCTGTTTCAATGGCACTGAAATCTTGAAATCTGGATACCATTTTCCTTCTTGGAAAAATTTTGTCGGCCTGAAAAGTTTTTACAAAGACTTTGTTTTGGCCTGAAAAGTTTTTACAAAGCATTTTGTTTTCTTTCATATTCGGACATTGAATCGTAATTGGAATTCTTATGCTTAGATGTGAAATTTACGGGAAATGTTATATTCTTTGAAGACTGTTACAGTTTCATTGCAGACGACACATACTGGTTTATCTTTTACAACTGTAAAAAAATATTTCCAGGCCCATTCATCATTAAAAGCACGGCGCTCTGAATCAACTTTACGTTTTTTAGTAGCCATTTTGGGTTTGAAATATTTTACGAATAACCCAAAACAAGCACTAGCTACGCTATACTTTAATAATTTCACCACTATTCACAATGCTGTATATCCTCAATCTTTCCATACGCAATCAATAATATTAGAACTGGCGCCAAAAGAAAAAGCCGCTGACTGGAGCTTAAAATGCGCAGTCTGCCACATGCAAGGTCTAATTTACTTATATTGGATTCCCATATGTCTGCTTCCCAAGAAAGAGATAACGTTTGTTGGCACCAATCTACAGCTATGACTAGGAACTTCCGCTTTTAACACTTTAACGATTGAAAGCTGTCTGTGCTTGCTATTTCCGTCGATTTAAGTTCTGTGGAACAAAAATAGAGAAAGTAAAAAGGTCATCAGTCCTTTGAAAAAAATAAATAAATGGAAGAAAAGAGCAATATTTAAACAATGTAGAAAAAGAGATGGGTATATAATATATAAATATATATTTCTTTTAATTTGCCTCGGACCGGCAAATTAAAATTCTATCCGCGGGCCGGAGTTGGCCCATCCTTTGTTTAGAGTAAAATATGTTGAACTCTTTATTCAAAAGTGCAACGAATACTTAAAAACGTTTGTGGCCGAAAGCAAAAAAACGGTGTATGTAAAGCATCTTAGGATTCTTACTTAATCTGCTACCAGATAGCTTAATGAGGCGAAGCCTATCCATTTTGGGAAAATCTTATTAAGCCTTCTACTATGGAGATTGTTAAATTCATCTTAGATGAAAAAGCAGCGGAAGAGGTAGCTAAGACACCTTTTAAAATGAACTTTTCCTCAAGAGCATAAAATGTCATTGGGCAACTGGATTGAAATCTGTACAGATAGAGCACAGGCTATGAGTGGCATAATTAACAGGACGGTACAGCTTATTAAAAATATCGCCGAAAATGGTCTTAGTAGCCAATGCATAGTACATAGGGACTTGCTACAAAAAAATTAGCCTCAAGTATTAAGACTGCTCTTGATAAGGTCGGTCGTCTGTGTCCTTAACTTCATAAATATTCGGCCACTAAAATAATCGTTTATTCAAAATACTATGGGAAGACATTGGAAGTATACATATATCTCTTCTTTTACATACTGAAGTCAGATGTTATCTTGAGATAACATCTGACTTCAGGAAAGACTAACCCATATTTTTGAGCTAAGGGATGAGGTGGATGCTTTCTTCTTAGAAAACGATTTCAAATTGAAATGTTGACTATTTGATAGAAATTGGATGCTTAAAATTGCCTTTTTAAGCGATATTTTTACGAAGATCAGTGAACTTTATTTAACTCTTGAGGACAAACAAGTAAATGTACTTTACTGCTCGAGAAAAAAAATCATTGCTTTCAAGAAAATGAGAAGAAGAAGGGGTTAAAATAAGGAAGGTATTTGTTCAAGAAATTATTTAGCACGTGAAAAGTTTGAGCAAAATCTTCCTGGTACTGAGTGAGTATTTGAAACTTTTAATCAGTATTTTCTAAATGAAAAACAGATTAAATGTCAAAATTAATCGGGTACTAAAAACCCTTTTATTGTCAATGTACCCGACAATGTCATCAAAAGAATATGAAACTTTTACTGAAATGACATCTCATTAATTGTTGCAAAAAAAAAATCAATTAACTAGTGAAATTCTGATGCAACTTAAAAAATGAATATCTTCAAGTGTCAAAAAAGGCCTGTTGGTATTTTTACTATTTGCAACTACATGTGTGTACGAAACGGGATTCTCAGCTTATGTGCAGGGGCATAGCAAGAGGAGGCCAAGGGGGACACAGTCCTTGGGTGCAGCATACAGGGAAAGCCAAACTGATGTTACTATATTTTAGAATGAAATATTTTCCATTCTAAGCAAACAGCAAGGGGCGGGAAATCTTCAGCTGTCCCCAGGCGCTGAAAACCCTAGCTACGACTCTGCTTATGTGATGACAAAAAAATAAGCATGTTGAACCCAACATGAGAATTCAATTTTTATTATTTAAGCCTACTATTAAATATTATCTGAGATAATAGAATACAGTACCACTTATCTGGTTAAATTTAAATTTGAAAGTCCTCTTTGAATATGTTATTTTAAGAACTTTCGGGTTAATTCTGAAATTATTTTTCGAAGCAAATAAATGTAACTTGAAAAACTGTCATTTTTAATGCAAATAATCCATTTTCAAAATGTTACATTAAACTGCACTACTGAAGCAAATCAGGAGAATAAAATAAATCTACAAGAAAAGTGAAAATTAAAAAGGGTTCTACTTATAAAAGAGATTAAGAAATACTGCTCTAGAGGAGTAAAAAGAAATTGATAATTTAAAACTGAAATGGCCCTACATAGCAGAAATAACAGCAGTAATTAACTCAAGAAGAATACAGAGATAAGTCAATTATCCTTAACGCAGGTGAAATAGTGCAGATTACCAGTATCACAGGGTAAAACAGAATAAAGGGTAAACTCTAAAACAAAATTCATCTAACTTTTTTCTTCGGGACGCAAACTCTCTGAAATGAAAACTAACTGGCAAATGACTGACTACCTGCTATCAGATGCCGGAGCTCTTTTTTATATAAGATAGTCCAACTTGGCTTTCTGATAGCTTCGTGTAGAGCTCCTACAACTTCAAAAATGCTTTTACCCAAAATTTTCAGAAATAACCCAGTTTAACAAGAAATTGCCAAATGTCGCTAGGAGACAATAAGACCCGTCAGGAGAGTTTTTGCCTATATTTCGGGTTCTACGTAAGCTATTTTCACAATTTAAATGTTGTTGCATTTAATATCACTAGATTTACAATTCTGTATAAGAAATATGCTTTTATATGAAAAATACGCAACCGCAAATTCAATTACACAAAAGTAAACTCTAAAATTATTACCTAAAATGCAACAAAGTAATAAAAATAAATAAAAACAAAAAATCTATAATAATATGCAAAAAAAAAAAAAAAAGAATAATCAAGGTCACTCAAATATTTACAACATCATTATCTCCTTAGGGACTGGACGTTCCGGGGAGGACAATCCCTAAGATTCTGGAGGGGGAAAAGTAGAATTCATATTTCTAGCCATTTCCAAATCTACTTTAATCAATTCGGAATTCCCCCGTATTCAAGTAGTGCTCCCCATTCTGTCTTTATATGTCACAGAAATTAGAGTGGAATAATAGTAATTGTGTTGAATGTTCAAATATTTTCTAAACCATAACTAATAATTAAAGAAAAGGGAAAAAAATTAATAACAAAATAATCATAGCTATCTCAGTGCTTCGAGACCAGAAATTTTTCCCTCTGTCTTCATCACATTAAATATAATAACTTACAAATAATTTTATTACGACAGCATTTATTAAAATTAAAGAATTTCTTTTTACAGGTTTGGACCACGTGCAGCCCATGCGACTGTTCTCATTTTTGGAGGTTTATTGTGTATGGGATCGGCAGCTTTGGGATACAGTTCTTGGTTTTGTAAGTCAGAAACTAAGGTTCAGCATAACTAAGTTCCTACACATAACTGATATTTCATTTATTCTTTTTTTTTTTTTTTTTTTTTTTTTTTTTTTTAACATGCGCAGAGAATTAATTATTTGTGTTGCTGTCAACGAACGTTTACTGTAAAACTTGCATTAAGGTGTCCTATTATTAGTCCAAAGGGGATTTGTCCCTGAAGGACTTCTGTTTTCGTTTTGCGATTTCGCGTTGAATCACTATGAATGTCCGTTTCACTTTTCAAACTGTTGCCACCAAATGTTAGAGTCCTGCATCATATTGAAGAAATTAAATAATGAAAAATCTGCATAAATGTAGGTATATTTCTCGCATTGTGATAAAACAACGGTACATAGAGCCATCGAATTTTGAATGAGGTAATCCTCCTACGAATATGGGCATGTGGAAGACCCAATTTGAAATTTGGAAATTGTTTTATTATCGATTTCATATTTTGTAAAACTTTAACGAGTTTTTATTAACAATTTCAACGATTTAAAAGCGAGCTATGGCAACACTCTACGGCGGGGGAAAAAAACTTTTTATCTTCAGTGGGGCGCGGAACTGTGTATCGGAAATTCTAAAGATAAGCTCATTTTAAAATTATTTTGCGACATTGCTACTGAATTGAATTTTATGGTTTAAGTTCAAAGAACATGACATGTAATAAATAAAGGTAACACTCAAAACATTAAAAAAACGCGCCTTTGGACGTAATTTAAAATCTGAAACCTTTCAGATTTTTTATTTATTTTTATTGTCTTATATCTTTCGGGTATTTTCTGAATGGCTTGAAAAGTAAATCATCCCTTCTGATACAGAACGCTTTTGCTTCCTGAAATATGATAACAAAAAAGTGATAGAGAGTTTTCCAGACTTAAATCTTCTATCATATTTCGAATTTTTCTTTAAGAATAAATACTTAATGAATATTGTAACCAGTAAATTAGCACTTTATAAAAATTATCGAGTGGACTTGCAATCTTTAAGCGACCTACCATCTTTTCCTTCCCTAGTGAATATAGAAACTGACTCTGAATAGGATTCCCGTACTATTATCAGGAAAGGTTATATCCTACTTCGCAGATTGGTTTCTCTCAGCTACTGAACTGTAATGAACTGGCATATGGTTTCTGTTTTCTGTCATTAATTACTGAACAACGACACTAGAATAATTTCGGTTAAATTACAAATAACAGATTGTTTTTCAATTATTATTCCTTCATTCTGAATTCGCAGGCAGGCACAAAAGACCCTAGTGCCCCCGTCATTGTGTTGATTAACTTTTCTAACCTGGTTATAATCTATCAGGTTCCCGAATTCATCATTGCCAAGAGGTAGACAGCGCTCTGTCGTTGACTAAAGCTTGGGTATCATACAAGTAACAAAAGACAGCATATCATTACCTTACAACCTTATATCAAACCAAAGATCTCATACTGTCCCCTTTCCTTCCTTTAACCTCTCGAACAGACTTCCAGCTTGACGGTATTTTAAATGTCTTTATGCTAAGAAAATATAATACATTTACAAAGTTCTTGCCTTCTCTGGGATTCGAATACAAGTCCAACGATATGGCTGTTAGACCTCAGATTTGGAACTTTATATATTTTTTCTTATATTTGTATTTTCTGCCCAGTCCCACGTTTTGATCATACGGCCGGCTTGTGCAGGTCAGGAGGATCGGGGCTGTGGTGTCCGCCGAAAACATCGCGGACGAAAACGTCGCGGAGGAAACAACGCAAGGAAAAAACGTCGTGGTACAAAACATCGTGAGAGAAAGCATCGCAAAGAGAAAACATCGCACTTCTAAAATATCGTGGTCGAAAATAAAGCGGTTCAAAAACTTCGCAGTTTAAAAACATCGTCGTCAAAAATGTGGTAAAAAATAAAATATCTAGAAATCATAGCATGACGATAACATCGCACACATGCGTTCAGGTTTTGAAAGTTGTAAATGCATGTTCGTGTAAAGATCATAGAGCTCGAGAAGTAAAGGAAGATTCTTTTGCTTCTACATTTCATATATTTGAAGGAACTAAAGAAGCAAACTTAAGCCTTTAAAAATTGAAAATGAGTCGAAAATTAATGCAACTTAAAAAGCTTAATAAAATTTTAAATATACATGCTTAATTAACAATAAATTAATCGTTTTTTTATAAAGTTTTACTGATAATTTTTTATGAAAAAAATAGTCTAAAAAGGCTTAGAAAAAGGAATACAAATAACTGCATGAGGTTACCTCTATGAAAATTGCTTAGTGAATGATCAAATTATTTTCTTTCACATTTGTTAATCTGATATTGTTTTAATGAAAATTACATATTGTTTTGTTTCCGTTTAAAGTGTCGTTAACATTTTCACGCAATCAATTTTTTGGTGGTCGATTTTGTTAGTTATGACGAAAGTCAGTTACATAATATGTCACTATGCGATTTGAAAACGCATGTATGTGATGTTATCGTCATGCGATGATTTGTAGGTACTTTATTTTTTACCATGATATTTTCGACGACGATGTATTTAAACTGTGAAGTTTTTGAACAGCTTTATTTTCGACCACGATATTTTAGCACCGCAATGTTTTCTCTTTGCGATGTTTTATCCCTCTGATGTTTTGTACCACGATGTTTTCTCCTTGCGTTGTTTTCTTCGCAACGTATTCGTCCGCGATGTTTTCGGCTGTAACCGGGGCTGTGCCCTTATGATGATAATGATGATGGCTGTTAGCGTCGCTAACCACAATATCGATCAGAATGACCTTGATTGTCTTTAACATTTTGTTTGTGATATTCGTTTTGTGCTAATGCTCTACAGTATTATTATTTTGTTCCGAAATTATTGTTTATGCACGGTGTTGCCAAATCGGGCGATTTTTTCTAAATCTGTTACTTATGGCTAACGTGTGCTATTAAAATTAATATTTATGCAGTTTTGCGAATTTTCTGTGACTACTCCTTGCGCTTCCTTTTCATACTTTAAATTTTTTGATATATTGGGAAAAGCGTACATATTGAAATGATGATGCGATGTTAAATGTCTATCTGTTTAAAATTAATTTATAATAAAATGGGATAATTCATTTAGGCTTTAATAAAAGTTGCCAGTTAGTAATCTTGTGATCGTAGTGCATGTGTTATTCACTTTTCATCAATATAGTCGCTGGTATTTTCACGTACTTTAGAGATTGCTTTGCTGAGAACTGGCCAGAAAGAGCGGAAACAGACAACACAAAAGCTTATCACAAACTATATAATTGTGAACTGAAGGCAAACAAAACACAATCATTCTTTCAAGCAAGCAAAACTCTCAGCAAATCCTACCTCAGAATAGTGTTAAAAACGCATTTGTGAAAGTGAAGAGCATAGATCAATTTGAATTGAAATTTTCTGAATTTTTTGCTTATCACGCATAAAAAGTATTATCGACCATTTGAGGGAAATGTTTTAGAAAGAAATTCCGCATCAAATTCATAATCTTATATTTGACGTCTGCAGAACGCATATCATTTCATGAAGAAAGTTGTTTCGCCTGAATTGCTTAAAATAAGGGAAATGAATGAATCATCGTTTCCTCTAGCACTTCATGATTCTACATTTGTAATCATTTGTGCTTATGTTAAGTTGCTTTATAATGAAAAATAAATAAATTATCTACACAGTATTTAAGATTCGTTGAAGTTTAAAATCCAATTTCTAAATAACAACACAAACAAATTTGACAGGGAAAGCTCTTAGCTTTTATTAGTAATCAGATTCTGATGAAAAGTTCAACAATCATTAAAGGAAAATTAACTGAAAAGCTATTACAATTAAAGCACAACCAAGAAACAATTATAAGGTATTTTATCCCTCCTTTCTGCATGCCTTCGTGGTGTAACAGTAGTACACTCAGCGCGTATTAGAGAGGTCCAGGGTTCGAGCCCCAGAGAGGGCACTGCTCATTTCTCATGTTTCCTACTTCCAAAAAAACCTAATGACTCTACGCAATGAATTAAAAAGATAAACACCCAATTCAAAAGAATTAAAACAATAGCAATAACAATCGAAATGTGAGGAAGTACTTGACAATGGAGGTGAAAAAGTTAACTAAAGAAATAACAACTTTTTTAATTAACTGAGATTTAATTAAAAGAAGAAATGGAGATTTAAACAATGGCAAATTAGCAATATGGCTTAAAGATTTTCATCATCACTAATATTCCTAATAACGACCAACAAAGTATATCTGGAAAAAAAGGAAGTAAGTTACGGAGCGTAAGGATACCGAATTTGTGATGACATCAGAGGTCACATGAGCTCACGTTCCTGGTTCCACTATATATCGAAATTATTGAGCTGGATTTGCCCGACGTATTCCGGATCTTTCAGGTAATGTCTTAAAAACGCATGAAGATAGCGTTCCTGATAAAAATTGGAAGAGGAGAGCGACCATCATCAACGTGAGTAAAAGGCCCGCATCTGGTTGGTCGAGATATAGAACTTCTCTGGTTAGAATTCATTGTCATGTGAGCTGTCGCGAGCCGTCTGATTGGATGCAAGGTTCAAATTCTCATAAATTTCTAATTACATACATACAAATTCAAAAATTAAAGTGTATAATACAGAATCAAAATAAAATTTTAAAAAAACAAGCAAACTGTTTACAGTATTTACATAGACTCTGCGCAGTTTATGATATATTCAGTAGAAACATTTTTCTTTTTTCTTTTCACAGTTTTCCAACTAGGTTAATACTTACTTGTGCAAACTGTAGAAAATTTATGCACAAGTAGTCAGATCAGATTGGGAAGTTTTGATCCAGCATATCTGCCAATGCCATCACTAAAATCACGTGATCTCTGACATCACGGGCTAATTTTGATCCTTCTCCTTCCCGCTTTAGAAAATAATTCTGGCAGTATTGATCATGCAATAAGACTAAGTTTTTCGCTTTAATTGGTTTTCTGCCCAAAACTGGAAATAGTCACATAGGCGAAAGTACTCGTTCACAGTGCGGCAGAAAGAAGAACACGTTCTAATTTGGAAACGAATTCATATTCATCGACATGAATAAATTATCTAATAATGAAACAATAATGATATTTTAAAACTGCAATGTCCATTTTCCCTACCCTTGCTGGTGTTCTCCCTCAAAACTGAAGCGGAAACTTAACAGTTAGCTAGATTCAGCAACACCTCAATCGCCTGAGGTAGGTACTACTGAGGTGCTGGCCTAGCTTCTACCTCTATACTTGTCCATTCCTTCTTGCTCAGAGAGCTACGGTTTCCATTACTTTAGAGTGCTTAATCAGTGTCGGCGCTAAATATTTTGCTGCCCGGTGCAAACTCTGCAGTTTCCAAATTCTGCTGCCCGGTTTTTCCGAAATGCTAAAAGTTTTGCTCCACTAAATTCTGCCACACAATGCGTAATTCGCACAGATTGCATCGTCCCTGGCGCTGAGGGTACCGAAAGATCAAAATGAATTCATCAATAGAGTATATATGGCACGAGCGTGAAAATTCCCTTCACACCAACATAATGTTTCTTGTGAGGTGTTCAATAAATAATTATGCTAAGTTTAATACTTTTATCTAATAATAGAATTCTTTTATATCATATTATTTTTTAAACCCAGAAAATTGTTTCCCAGAATTATGGCCAATCAATTCACAAAGTTTTTAATAATTAATAAATTCGAAACTAAAATTTAGTGTAATTTCTTTGCATTTTTAGATGGCTCTTCCCACACCTTGTATTTGATTTCTCCAGTCCTTTCTGTTGTAGGAAAGGCTTGTATAAGGTCTGCTACCGCCACCAACATATTTTTCACCATAAAAGTTTTCCCAACGGGAGTGAGGTAATAAGTGCACTATATTATTTTTTCCCTACATTTATTTATGTTTAGATTTATTAGTGTTTATTTATAAAGAAAAATTCATGGTTTCTAGGAAAATTATAGACTAACATATTATATTTTTTTTTACTTGCTTTCTAAGATCATTAAAATAATATTATACATAAATCCAAAATATCCTATATATGTGTATTTTTGGCAAAGGAACTTCACATTAAGTTATGAACTTACAAAAATGAAATCCTCCTGCTCTCAATTGTTTAGGTAACCGTTTATTCTCTATAACTAAATTAGTTAATAATTGATTTCTTTTTCTATAGGAAATATATTATTTAAGTAAATATACATAAGAAAATGATAACTTTTTATTCGTCGTATTTTGCGTATTAAATATTTTGCTTTCCAGTATCAAATTACATTCGTCGTATTAAATATTTTGCTTTAACAAATATTTAAAATACTTATATACATATATTAAAATTGAATATAGATATTAATATATATATATATATTTATTAAAATAAATTTATAATAAGAAAACTTTTCATATACCATCTCCAAGGAATACAAATTCAATTTAAAACCATGAATGAAAAATTTTTTTTCTTTTAATCAGAATTTAAATTTATTTTAAAAAGTACTTCAACTTCTTGTTTAAAAATCTGCAAAGAAAAATCTTACCGAAACCAAAAGTAAATTCTAAAAGCACTGTTTTTAATTTCCCTCAAATACACAACTCATTCCGAAGTCAAATAAAATGAAACGATTAAATTAATAGTTAGTTACGTAGGCTTTAAATCTAATCATATAATTTCTTTTTTAATTTTAATTATGAATTAAACTTCAGTAAAAAAAACTGTTTTTCCTTATATAAAACAAATTAGATTATATACAGGGTGGTAATAAAAACAAATCTTCCCATACATGAATCCCTAACGCTCAACCAATCCAATTCGCTCAAACCAATCGAAATGAAATTTCAGATATTGTTATTTGAAGGTATGCGCTCGAGATTGTGATTATTTAAAATGATAGAACTTTCACGGTTAGAGTTACAGTGAAAATATTTCGAAATGTTTGAATGGCAACACCCGCTTTTTACTCCGCAAATCGGAAAACCATATATGGCTTTGGAACGATATATGTATTATGAAAATTGCAGGCGAAAAAATTTGCAAAAATGAGCATTGTAAACACCAGTGAGAACACAAGGAAGGAAAGGGAAAAAACTTTATTGAAATTACAATTTTTCAATGTGCCCACCTTTGCAGATGATAACGCATTGCATGAGGGAGATTGTTGGCAACAATAACGAACATAACATCGGAGAAGCAATCTGCACAACTTTATAGTTTTATAGCATTTCTCAATTCTGACAAACCTCGTGGACTTGATGTGTACACTTCAAATTTCAGATAACCGTAGAACCAGAAATCCATCACAGTAAGGTCGGGAGATCGCGGTGGCCACGAAACTGCAAAGTTACGGAGATGACTTTATCTCAAAAGTGCTGCTTCAGCACTTGCCGAAAACATATGGCGACGTGTGGAGGAGAACCATCCTGCATCCATACAATGCCATTAACGACATTTCGTTACTGCAGTTCTAGAATTACGTAATTCTGCAGCATTGTTGTATACCGAGCTCTTGTGATGAAGCACATTTTAATACCTGTGGAAGTGATGTCTTCGAAGACAAATACAAAGTATGTCAGTGCGCCTTTTCTCTGTGTTATCATTGGTTGTTTAGAATGCTCTCCTTTGATAATGTTTTACCCCCGGAATTTTCAACATACGTGTATCATTCCAACGCTACTTGTGTTTTTCAGTGTGCTGATTCAATTTGCGCAGGAAAAAAATGGCTGTTGTCCTTCGGAAATTTTGAAAAAAAATTTTCAGTGTAACAGTAATCGTGAGAGCTCTATTGTTTTAAATCATCACAGTCTCGACCGCATACCTGCAAATAACAATATCAATAACTGAAATTTCATTTCCATTGGCTGAGCGGATAGGCCACTAGGGGTTACTATATCGGGGAAGTTTTTTTATTATTGTCATTTATTTCTATTACCCAAAGGCACTACATTTTATTCCTGAATTTAATTTCAGTTTTAATTTAATTTTCTTATTAATTTTTATGAGTGCCATATTTGTTAAACATTGTAAGCAATCTAACATGCAATATGCGATCGTCTGATTTCTTTAAAGACATTAAATAATGATTTAAAATTACGTAGTTAACTGTATAATATTTTATGTTATTTCGAAGAGCTAAAAATTGGAAATAAGTACCGTTAGTCTCGTATTTTTCCCCTTTTCCTACTAATTTTACTACTTGAAGAGAAAAATACGCGGTGTACACCATTTTTGAAGAGACGACTTAAATGATAATCATAGCACATTAAAAATCGTACATAAAGAGACACTATTATTAATATATTATGTATTTCAAAATCTTATTAATTTTAATATTTTTTAACATACGCAAAATGCTTTTTTATTAGTGTAGTTACATTTGCAGTTATTCCATAAATCAAAAATTTCTAAATTATATATAAAAATATCTGATGTGTACAGCACATAACTTCCTTGTACGGAATATTAAATTATACGCATATTTTCATGCATTTCATTTAAACTTATTGCATTGAATTAAATTTACTTCATCGATAGCGCATAAACCACAATAGAATAAATGTACTCATTAAAATTCACTATATTGGTTTACCGTAACAACAATCTGGCGCTAGGTTCTCTTAACAGCGTTATATTTCGTTCATTTTATAACTCAGAATAAACAAAATTTATATCATTTGAAGAATTATCTAATCGTTGCCACATTTTCTATTCAATTATTATAATAAATCTAGAAGGATGTGTAAAAGAAATTAAGCAAACAAAACAAAAAAGCAACAGTTTCTCACAGACGATTGAGTATTTCTCATTCAATTAATTCAGTTCTCACTTCGCGAGAAGGCAAAAATACATAAAAACTCAAAATATCTATATTAAAAATTACGAAGTAAATCTTAAACACTTATTTCCTCGAAAAAATTCCAGAAAGGATTAAGCATGATTTAAATGGCAATAATAAATGAAGGTGTTATCTTTGTTGTTGCGAAGCTAAGTTTCTCTAGATTGGCAACAAATCCACTAGTCTGCTGTTTCAAATGTAAACAAGCAATGGCCGTCATCAAAAAAATTATTAGGCTTAGCGGCACTTAAACAACTTTAAAATTGTTGATAATTCTAAAAATATTGCATACAGATTTACTAAAGGCATAAAAAACTTAACCGGAAGATAAAAACAACATAATTCAATCATTTTTAAAGCAAAAAATGTGCAATTTACAAACATATAAGAGTAAAGAAACAGATCACTGATCCGGGTAACAGAGTGGATATATATATAAATATATTTATATACGTTTGGTGTGGCCGATTTCTACCAAAATACTAGGTGTACATCTACATGTTATAGCCGTCCTATATACACAATTTCAACGTTCTAAAGCTACTCGTTTTTGAGTTATGCGAGATGCGTACGTACATACGTACACGTACGTACATGCGTTCGTACAGACGCCACGAAAAATTCCCTTCAGAATTAATTTTAAAGCAGTTTTATAATTTTTTTGGAGGAAACGAGTCTTTTATTCTGTCCTTGCATACAGATGTCACGCAAAAACATTGTTAAGTTGCATTCGATAGCGGTCAAAATGGATATTTTCGTTGAAATATGCTACCTGAAACTTTTCGCAATTACAATGCTTCCTTTTTACTTCGTACAAGGAAGTAAAAAAACAAAAAAACTAGAGGGAAATTATGCAAAGGGAAGAAATATGCGAGTAAATGTAGTTAAATAAATTAACAAAAAGTTAATTCAAGTTTACTTGCCTTTATTTTTTTTTTAATTTTATTATTATTTTTTATTTATTTATTATTTTTTTTATTTATTTTCCCCCTGAGGAAAAACAAATTCAAAAATTTACTTTGGCATATTTAAAATCTGGATAATCCTAGCCGCACTATATTGAAAACAATTTTTTATAGGTCTATGGTTATACTAATTTTTAAAAGAAACTAATAACTTTAAGATTTTAGTTTTATGCTTAGAATCTGTCATAATTTTAAGCTACTTGTACCTTTCCAAATCAAATAATTTGAACATAAAGTATTCTTCTAATGAATTAATTATAACTTGTGATTGATGAAAATGAATTACATTAAATTAATAATAACGTTATTTCAGGGCCATCGGTCTCGGTTCATGCTTGTTTTGGACTAGAACAGCTCAACTGATTGGAATACACATTTCTTCTCTGGTATAAAGATTATTTATTTAATTTCACATAGTTTGAAGACTTTGTTCGATCTTAACAGCTTGACTACCATGTGCATCAATAGGGATTCCCAGGGCTCTTACTTTTCGGAGTCCTGTGCATCGAATGTGATTCACAGGTTTTGTATTGTTTGAAGCCATGTTAGTCACCGGTGTTTCACAAACACACAGATTTACACGGTTAAAATTTTTTTACGGCCTCAGAAAGCTACTCTGTATTTATGGTTTCCGGCTTCTGGAAACTTCTTTTTCATAAATTATTGTATTATTTTAATATATTTAATAGTAATAATTTTATAATATTTTTAGTCCAAAGAAGCTTTGTTCCTGAGGGGCTATTGTTTTCGTTTTGCGATTTTCCGTCGAATCACTCTGAATGTCCGTTTCACTTTTCAAACTGTTGACACCAAATATTATCGCCCTGTATTATATTTGAAGAAATTCAATCATGAAGAATCTGTATAAATGTATGTATGTTTCTCGCATTGGGATAAAACAACGGTGCCTAAAGCCATCAAATTTTGAATATTGAACGTTTCCACCCGAACATGGGCATCTGGAAGCCAAAATTTGGAATTTCGAATTTGTTCTATAATATATTTTATATTTTCTAAGACTTTAACGAATTTTTTATTAATAAACTGAACGATTTCAAAGCGATCAATTGCAAAAATGTACGGAAAAAAAAAAGAAAAAAAAATTATATCTCCAGAGCGCGAGACTGTGTATCGGAAATTCTAAAGCAATGCTAATTTTAAAATTATTTTGCGATATTGCTGTTGAACTGAATTTTACGGTTTAAGTGCGAAGAACATATTTAATAAATAAAGGTAACACACAAAACGTTAAAAAACGCCCTCTTTGGGCGTAATGTAAAATCTGAAAGCTTTCAGATTTTTTTTTTTTTTTTTTTTTTTTCAAATATATAATAATTTTAATTTGTCGGGCAAGTCCACCGGATGAGCGAGCCACGGCCAAAGCAATATTTATACCGAAAAAACTGAAAATAAAATGATCTATTAATTTAATGTAGTATATACAAAGTTGCTTTCTGTGATCAAAGCGAAATTTATGAGTTTGCTGTGGTCATCCTGAAAAAAAAGTGCATAAAAACATTTCATTAATGAATGAAATCAGTTCATTCTTTCCAAGCAGCATTCATAAATAACTTTTTTGTTGCCAAACCAGAAAACAAAAGCTTTAGACACTTCAGGTTAATAATACTTATACATATGACCTGATGATTTAATGTAATATAACAACTTTTTCGCAATGTCAATAAAAGAAATTACTTAGCAATAACACACTGAGTCAGTTATCTTAATCCGAAACAAAAAAACTTGTCAAAAGCAGCTATTTATTTAAGAAAAATTTTCGATATACAATGACGTCACATGAAATCGGGTGCTTTCTTCTACGTCAGAATATCAGCGTATATAACAATAATGTATTTAATGTTTGTCAATATTTTTATTTCATATTTTGTAAAACTTACAAATTATTTAGTAACGAACTCTATGGTTTGAAATCGCGCTGTGGCAACTCTTTTTGAAATAAAGCAGGTTTTTATCTCCAGCGTGCGAGACTGTTGCCACTCGGAAAAATGCGGGCGAAAATTAGCGTTTTCAGATTTTTAATTAATATCTTTGATTAAAGACGTACGAAGATGAGAATTGTCGAAATGGCTTTCCACGAATTTTTGGTATATCTATCTCAACTCCCCGCCGTTCCGAAGGAGATGATGCCACAAACAAACAGGTTTTAATAGTGTAGATAATACTAATTACATCATTAACATACTCATGTAACTACAAAATCTGCTCAAATAATATTTTCCTTTTGTACAGAAGCTAATAGAGAACGTATCAAACCACTTTTATTATATATTTAGAAGTTTGCTTTTTAACCACAATACTATGTGCAAAAGACACTTATTTTCAGGTATTTAAGTTTCGTTAAATATATTAAATAAGAAATAAAAGTATTAAATGCCATCATAAAAAATCTGCTGAATTAACAGTGTGTAATACATGTATTTACTCTAAACCATAAATCATGCCGCTAGTGCCGAAAATATTCTAAAAGTCTGATGCAACTTTCAGGGTGTTGCTTTCTTTAACTAAAAACCAGCAATAATCACCCGCCATCTTAGTGATCCTATCTACCTTGATACCTCTGCTTCAATTTTCTAAACATGTTGACGGAATCTTTGTTCTGGCTTGCTCTTCATATTTACTAAATTCTTAAGGAAAAGTACCAGTTAGGAATGTAGAAAGTGAATTTTTAGTGGGGGATTATTGTAATTTTAAATTTAAAAAATTGTTAAAATTGTAATTTTAGTGTTTTAGGACTGGTAGCTAATATCGTAATTTTAATATTTTAAGACAAGAAACTTTTCTACTTGTACATTTAAATTTATATCATATTTATGAAGTAACTTAATATTTCAAAATTTTAGATAAATAAATGATATAAAATAAATAAAGGTAACACAAAAAATGTTAAAAAAACACCCCTTTGGACGTAATTTAAAATCTGAAACTTTTCAGATTTTTTGTTTTTCTTTTTTTTACTTATTAGTATTGTTAAATATAGTTTTAATTATAAAAATGTTTGAATGGAATAGTGCATTTTATGTTTTCATTTCAGGAACAGGAAGTACGCCATTATTTTCCTCTCGCTATGTGTGGCTTTCTCTCGATGATCGGTGGTATTTTGACCCCTTTTCTTCCATCTGACTATCACAGACCACTCCCAAACGTAGCCGTCGAAGTGGAAAAATCGCTGATCCTCGAAGATTCATCGAGAAGAAAGAAATCGCGACATCTCGCCACACCCTATCCACGCATGGTAGCGTTGGTCGATATGAATTCTTCTCATTTCGAGGAAGAACAAGAAAATGAAAAGAATAACACTTTGTTAGAGCTCAGCGTACAAGAATTTCAACCACACAGACTGCAGGTACCACCTCAAGATTTAATAAGCCATCTCAGAGATGCTCCAGGTCCAAGTCGGTTGTGCCAGGCCTCCGATAAATCTTCATCTATGGCAGATAAAGATGACACGGAGTCCAGACTCACCGACCTGGAAGAAGAACTTTGCAAAATCTGGGAGCAGAATGCAATTCGAGATGGAGAAAATGCTTCTGGTTCACCGGGGAATTTTCGACGGACTAATGTGAGGGACCATTACCTACGAATGCATGAGACTCAGTTCTGAAATTTTAGCATAAAATAAATGAATAATGAATTTTTCAGAACAATTTATTTTGTGTTTCCTATTAACAAAATTAATCAAATAAACTTCTTTCACTTTGTAATACAGTGGTCTGTGACAAATGTTATTGGAAGCACTAATTTTCCTACTGAAGATTGCAAAACAAGAGATAAAAAACAACTGCAAATAAGATAAAAGAATAATTTTTATAGCAGCCAAAAATAATCTATTAAAACAATAGCTGACCATGAATGTTTTGATGAATAGTAGTTTTTAAAGTTAGTGCTACGTTTCTCTTTTCTTTCTTTTTTCAGTCTACTTGCAAATAATAAGGCATTTTTACAACAATAATCGAACTTGATAAATAATGTTAATACCAGATTAGCTGGTAGAGTTAGCAATTAATATGGCATATATTACTAATACTAATAGCAACGTCAATTGAATTTTCTGCGAAGTTGTGATTGAGGTTATCGTTTTAAAGTGTAAGCTAAAATTATTTGATAATATACAAATTTGTTTTAATTAACCTGTAGTGATGATTAGTAGAAATATTTTTGGGGGTAGATTTTGTTGAATTGAATTTGTTGATATAGTATATCTTCGTATACGTAATAATATTACGTTCAAACTTCGATTGGTCGTTGTAAACAAGTTTCAGTCTGTAAAGGGATAGTGTTAGTTATGATGCTTTGATAGCGCTGGGTAAAGTTAAACGAAAATTGTCATATAATTGAACAATCTATCTATGTAACTTATGTCTATATATCTAGACTGCGTTGGTCGATTCGAGATGGAAATTTATGCTTTCAGGAAATATATTGCTATATTGCATAAAAGCATTTCTTTTGATTTATACTGTATGGTAAAAACATTTCACGACCAAATTTAAAAGAAAAGTCAATTTCAATTGAAAGGTCTTTTATTTTTCTTAACACGGATAACTAATAGTATGCATGCAAGATGATTCTCAGATATCTGAGGGAAATGCAAAGGTAGATACAACGGACAGAAATAAACAGATTTTGTAATGCAATGTGTGTGTAAAATAGTGCGAGTGAATGATGGCACATAGCGAAGATGTAAACAACAGGTAAGTAAGAAAGACAGATAAAAAAAAAATTTGGCATTCACATTAGCAAAGTTCTAAAAACTTTCCCATATACGAGGGTTGGAACTTTAATAGTGGCAACTATTTATTTACAAGGAATACAAAAGTGATTCATGTCACCATGTTTTACAGTCCTTCAATATAGTCGCCAGCATTGTGTACAACCCGCTTCCAACGATGTGGAAGTCGCAGAATACCTGTAGCAGCGCCTGTTTTGTTGATAGTTTGAATGGACCGGTCTACTGCCGCAAGAATCTCAGAAACAGTTTGGAAGCGAGTGCCACGAAGTGGTTCCTACATCTTAGAAATTAAGTCATAGTCACAAGGGCTTAGATGTGGGGAGTATGGTGGATGGTAAAGCACTTCCCAGCCCCATCGCTTGAACAAATCAGTCACAGCTTGCGCTGCATGCGGCCGAGCAAAATGTCATGCAAAATGAGAGGAGCGTTCTGCAGAAAGTGTCGCTGTTTTTTTCTCAAAGCTTGTCGGAGATTGTGCTCCAAAAATGAGCAATAATACTGCGCAGTGACGGTTTGCTGTGGGAGAACGGTATGCGTTGGATGACAACATCACAGTCGTACACGAGAATCACCATAACTTTCACATTGCTGGGGTTCTGACGAAATTTCGAACGTCGTGGTGACCCGTGATGACGCCATTCGTTTGACTGGCGTTTCAGTTCTGGCTGGTACGATCAGGCCCAAGTCTCATCCAGCGTAATGATACGGCGTAAAAAAGCATCTCCTTCGCGCTCATAGCGCTCCAGGTGGGTTCGGGCAGCATCGTATCGTAGCCATTTCTGCATTTCCGTCAATTAATGTGGAACCCATCGTGAAGCAATTTTTCTCATGGACAGGCGTTCCTTCAGAATGTGCAGCACAGTCGTATGCGCTAATCCTCTTTGTCCGGCCAGCTGACGAATCGTTTGGCGGCGATCACTGTCCATTAGTGCGGCAACAGCACGTCTGCATCGCTGACACTCGGACGACCTGGCCGCAGCATGTCTGCCACGTTTTGGAGTCCTTCATTGAATGCTTTCACCCATCTTGCTACGGTTCTGTAAGGCAATGCAGATTCCCCGCAAGCCTCTTGAAGCCCTTGATGACACTGTCGTGCTGTACGACCTCTGGCACATTAAATTTTTATCCAACATCGTTGTTCTTGATTTGAAAACATGGTGACAACACCTACTTTAGACCGCGAGCTAATACAAGGATCCCTTCTTCGCGTCACTCCGCATGCGCGTGAGGCAGGACGAGTCTTTTTGCTGAGAGGTAAGGTAGGTATGTAGTTTACGTGTGGTATACGCGATATTCTTTGGTTTTGTTACGTAGCGTTTTTTCAGCTGGGTTGCCACTATTAAAGTTCCAACCCTCGTATTTCCAGCAGAAACTGACAATCTGGCCACTAAATCTAAATCGGACTCATTGGGACTTTCGTAGGCCCTGCTATTAATGTACCCCAAACAAAAGAAATCTGTGCATGTCAAATCTAGTAATCGCGAGGCTAAAGAACAGTTCCACCCCATCCTGTCCAATATGGGAGCCGTATGTAACGTAAGGGTAATTCCTAGGAGGTGCTGTGTATTGTGCTGAAGTGAGCTATCATCCTATTCTGCTAAAATCATGTTAATGCCTGAAAAGCTGGAGGAATATCGGCAAGAAGTTCCGAGAAATTCTGTGGAAACATGGCGTATGTGCAGCCATTCAAATTACTAGATAGAATTGTGGAATTACCAATGTGCCAGGTCATACAACAATTCCGTGATACTGTAAGAGTAGTAATTCGCTTAGTAAAATAAATCAGTAGTCATCGACACAACGCAACAACTTTTATATTTTTCAAAAACACGTTACAAGAATGCATGCATCTGAATAGTCTACACCACTAATTAAGATACAGATACGGTTATAGTTAGATACATAAAATGTCTTTTTAATTAAATTTGCAGTTAGAAAGTAAATAAGAGCCCAGTTACTGTTAAACAGCCACAGAACGTACAGTCTTACTAAATAGTTTTGTTCCATGCTAGGCCAAACGTTAAAGGATAACCTTTGTTGATTGTTGTGTGATCTCGTGCTCTGTAGATTGACATGCTCTCAGATGGGAGAATTGTGAGTATTAAACATACACAAATGTACAAACGTAGCCTCTTGAATGAATATGGATGGAAATCAGAATTTACTGCAGCTTGCTACAAGTAACAGCGGGCAAAGATACCACAGAGAGGATAATCATCCGGTTTTTCAGATGCCTGCTCTGTCTGCAAATGATACGAATGCATTTTTTCCTCGTTTAAAATACTCACAACGGTTGGCTGGTTCACATCCGACTCATATTCAAAAACTCTCGTGGTTGAACAGTATTAGCCTCAAATGTACATATTACAACTATTTCTATTGCAGAGTTCCTGAAATATCTTTCTTTGACATTCTGCAAATTGGAATGACCCACTTAATTCAAGGGTCGATTAATACGCTTGAATGTTTGGCGGTTCTGTAGCTGTCAATTCGGGAATCGTTCTTTGCATATCCTTTGCGTTAGCTGCTTCAATTCCACCCGCAACCCAATAAGTAAAATGAACGGCGATGAGCTCCACTTTCACTTAGCGGTTGATACTACTCAATCCTCACCGGGGGGGGGGGGGGGGGGATTTGCGTCAATGAACCACTTCTATCTATCGAACTCAAAAATTGCACCCTTTATTACCTCAACTCGCTATTTTCGAGTTTGTTCATACATTCCATTGAAAAATCTGCTTATTTCAGTCCTCTCTACCTGCTTTTACATATTTTCCAGATACTTTAAAATTATCTTGTATACTTTCTATCAAGAGTAAATTTAAAGCTATAATAAATAAATAAATGAGGAAGACAGAAAAAAAAAAAAATAGAAGACACTAATTTATTAAAATTTCCAAGCTTACAGTTACGACTTAAACAATCAAAATTCAACTAGATAAGACTGTTATCTTCTTTTTTTCTTTTTTTCTGAATTTCTGCGTAAACTATTTAATTGAAAGTCCTTTTTCGCACTATCATGTGAAAATCCTCAAAAGAATTCCTGAGCTGCCTAAAATTAACTATGAACACTTTTACATGACTTTAAAGTATAAGAAATATTGTGCTATAAGGAATATTCTGCTCATTAAGTTAATACTCTCTTCATTTGATTCTGCTTGAAAATAATATGAGCTTATATGCCGTCTTCCCTTTCTTTTAAAATAAATGTACTTTTTGTAAGTGAAGAATGTTACTTTGTGATCTATTAAAATAAAGTAATCGCAAGCAAATGCAGTATTATTTTTATAATACATTTGAGTGACACCATATGTTATCTGACCTCACATAACACGACCTTCCTTGGCATTCTGCCCAAATGCTTAGACCTGTCTAGTAAGGCTTAAGTATCAAGGTAAGCATTTAAAGGTATTTAAGAGTGCGCTTTTTACAAGCTGTATTAGTAACATTACTACTATTTAAAATTTAATTCTTTCATCAAATAGTTTCTTTTTCTGTAATTATATTAACAGGAATCCACATTACGAATATGCGTTTAAGTCATTCGAAGGATCTTTTGTTAGGTTGTTATACACAGGAGCATCAAGAACAGCTTAAACATTTGATATCATCTTCTCCAGATGCCAATATTTCGGCACGTGTACCCAGATCGCATATGGATAGAATTATTTTATTTGGAGTTCCTATTAATGTAACTGAGACTACTATCGAAGATGCTTTTAAGGCGCTCTTGCCGAGAGATACTAATTTAAATTAAAATTTTGTCACAAGCTTTAAATGTACAGACAATAGTAAGAATTTCATTCTACAAATAGACAAGCGGTCTTTGACATTACTGGGTCATAAGGGTCGCGTTTATGTCGAATTCCATTTTTGTAGTTTTCGTAAATATATTCGAATTTTAAGGTAGTATGGTTGCCAGGCTTTTGGCCACCATATTCGAAATTGTACAAATTCTTTATTTTGCTCTCG